GGGCACCCCCAGAGGATGAGGTGATTTTCACTCACCAAATATTTTTTGTTTCGTTTTTAGAGGAGCTGAGTTTTCTCTTTTTCAAGCCCAGTGAGCTCAAGGTTTTTTGTTTGGTTTGGTTTGGTTTGGTTTGGTTTGGTTTGGTTTGGTTTGGTGCTGGGTGAAAAGACAGCTTGAGGGCATTTAGGAAAAATTCCATACCCTTGAGCTCTTGAGCCACCAATCATGTTCTGAGCAGGAGGAGAAAAAACACACAGCTTTCTGAAATGACAACGGAAAACACGGTGCATTGATTGTATTTTTTTTATATTATCAAAATATCTTACTCAACTGAGGAAGAAGGAGTGATGGCTGGGAGCTCAGTGTTTGGATCCTGGTTATGGGTTTTGAATCCTGGTTCTACCCTTTACTTAACCGAGATACGGGGCAAGTTATTTAATCTCCCCATGCTTCAGTTTCCTCATTGGGAAAGCCCACCAAATTACAGGAAAGATTGAATAGAATAATAGGTGTAAAAAAAAATCTTGGCACACAAATGAATCCTGGTGCGGGGGGCTGACCGTAACAGTAGCTTTTGTCCCCCTGCGGGTGTTTGTTTACCAGAACCACATGGGTTTGGGAGAACAGGTAATGTTTACTCTGCAAAAAAAATGCCCCTCTGATTCTCTTGTTACATTTCATCACACTTTACTATAATTATTTGTTTAATGTCTCACTATTCCCATCAGACTGTAAGATCCTTGAGAAAGGAGCTATGTGTGTCTCAGCCACCCTAAAACACACAAGTAGCCCAAGGCTTAGCTGGTCGTCTCTTGGTAGCAATCAGGGTGGGCTCCCCAGCTCCCTATGGATGGCAGATCAGGTGGTAACAGGGGCTTGGGTGCAAGGAAGAGAAAGACAGGAGGTGAGAATAAATAACAGGTGTTCCTCAACCCATCCCCTCAGGACGACTGTGAAGGAAGCAGGGCTGAAATAGGAGGTGGAGTATGTGGGGCTTTAAAATTAAGGTCACCAAGTGGGGTACTAGTTCGAGTTCTCTCAACGTGGAATGGGAGACATGAGCAACAGGCACAGCCGGGCGGGTGAGCATAACTTCATCCAAGAGTTCAGAGGACATTTTAATGCCTTTGATCTTTTGGGGGCAAATTTGAAGTGAGTAACCTGTGTTTTCAGGTCTCTGTATGCAAGTACATTTCCCCCTATTACTCATTTACTAAATTTGCATTCATTTACATACATGAACTAAAGTTATACAGGCAGCTTTTGATTAGTTCTATCAACTGAGCAGAATATCTGAGAGATGCTCCAATAACAAAGTTCCCCCCTCAACCTGACAGTCATGGATCTGTCTGGTGTTTAAGCAGATTTATAGCCTTTCAGAATAATGAAGACCTTTTGGCAATTGTAACAGCTCATGAAAGGGACCACCAAATGAGCGGGAAAGCTGGTCTGGGGCCAGGAGGACATTGTTAACAAAAGAAGGACCTGTAACACGCGGCCTGAAATTTGGACGGTCTTCACAGGGGTTAAGTCAGCTTCTTAAGCTTTACCAAAAAACGAAGAAAGACTTGCAGGCAGACACAAAGTTTCCCAGTCAGTGGGAAGGAAGCAGTGTGCTCCAAGACAAATCCGAGAGGATATAACAATGTATTATTCTCTCTCTCAATCCCGTCTTTCAGTAATCGAAGTCCATTTTTGCCAGATCAAGCACACTGATAGGTGTGAATTCAAGTAACTGTTGAGTAAGTTTGCTACACTGTCTTTTAACAGAATGATGAAGAGAAAAGTCTCTGAAAGAAAAAGAACCAAGTCACAAAAGCCCATACACTGAAACTATTAAAAAATTATTGGGCCCTGGCTGGTGTAGCTCAGTGGGTTGAGCATGGGCCTATGAAGCAAAAGGTCGAGGGTTCATTTCCCAGTCAGGGCACATGCCTGAGTTAGGAGTCAGGTCCCCAGTAGGGGGCGCATGAGAAGCAACTACACACTGATGTTTCTTTTCCTCTCTCCTTCCCCTCCTTTCTCTAAAAATAACTAAATAATAAATAAATAAATAAATATAATAAAATAAAATAAATAAATATTTTAGAAATTATTGGTATAGACATGGAGTCTCTTAAAGACTTCAACTCTAAACTGGCCCTACTATGGATGAACTATTTGTCTTTGACAAAAATCACAAAGAATTCAAATGAAAATTATCTTTTCCTTTGAACAGAGTCTATACTTAGTGACTTATTTAAAACAGGAATAAGTAAACCAGTTTTAATATGAGTCAAACTCATGGTCCTTAAGTCCCTTCAGAATGTTTCGAGATGCTTCAAGACACAGTTGCCACCAACATCTGAGTTGCCTGGGTGGTATACCCTCTGATCTGTAACTGCGCTGTGCACAAGTTTGCACGCTCTTTGGAATTCCCAGGTCTGAGCTGTGGCGCACGATTTCTGTCACCTTCGCTTCTAACTGATCACTCGTCATTCTAAGAGACTCATTTTTCATCAGCCATGGTACCTGGTATTGGCCTCTTATTTTAGAAAGCTAAATAGTTTAAGGGACATCTCAGACTGTTTTTTTTTTTTTCACCTGGGGTATTTAAACAAAGTTTCAGGAAGAGAAAACAGCCTAAACCTTTGGGGGGAGGGAAATTGAGAAAAACAGAAAGTATCCGTAAATTGCAATCTTACGATACTGCCCTGCAAGCAGAAACTTTCAGCACTCACTCCTTCAGTTGCCTTTGCAGCAAAGGGAAGAGAGCAGGTGGATCAGACACTGGTTCACTGCAGGACTTTTAGCAGCTCAGCACTCTGCTTGTTTTATTTGCACGAGCTTGTTCAAACAGCATAAAAGTGGGGCTGGTGTGGAAGTCCAGGACATCCTTTTTAGATATGTAACGTGTTTAATGAAGGCATCTTTCATAGAACCGCCACTTCAACACTCTCAATCGGGTCGCCTCGCTTCTTTTTCATCCATGCGAGTCTCTTCGGTCCTCTTTGGGCTGTGTATTTGGTGCTGGAAGATGTTTTGCTCTACTCACACCTGCCTTCGGTGTCTGCCTTTGCTCTGATGGTTGAAGTTTCTCCGTCCCCAGAGCCTCCTCGGGGCTCCAGTGTGGGATGACGTGCTTCACAGCGGTTCCTTGCTTCAGCTCTCACCATTTCCCAAGAAAAGCAACACAAGAGTGAGAACAAGAGGGACCCCAGGGCAGCATGTATGGGGTACATTGGTCCCTCCCAGTCGCCAATGCAGGCCTTGAAATTGCCTGCAGAGTCAGATCTGAAAGGAGGCAGGAAGTCCCCAGTCTTCCTCCTGCTCTGTCACGCAGGTGGCCAGCGCCGTGCCGTTACACTGCCCACCGCTGCTGGGCACTCGGACCACGCCGAAAGCCTGCCCAGCCTGCAGGGTGGCGCAGCATGGAGAAGAGATGAGGCAAAGCTCAGGACAGGCACTGGCCAGCTGCCACCAACACCACGGTGCGGCCTTGACACTGAACCCTGGCCCTGCACCTGGTTCAGGGGGTTGAGCTGGGCAGAGAGCCAACCTTGGCATGTCAATTTTTACCCTCACTTCTTGTTTTCCTTTCTCAGCTCCTCTGTGGATTCTCTGTGATAAGACCCTTCCTACTGTGACTTCATTTTGCAGTGAAAAGCGCCCTTTGGTAGGGAATGGCAGAGAATAATTTTCTCCCCAACAATGGCAGTCTAGGGGCTACAAGAAGTTTGCCAACCTCTTTTTTATTAAAAACAACATGACTCGTCAAGAATAGGACAGGCAGAGAGAAGGAAACACATAGCCCCTCAGACTGGGGTCTGCTTTTCTCGTTCCTTCTTTCTTTCTCTGGGGGAATACTCCCCCCCAAGAGGGTTTCCCAGAGCACCCCCTCCACCTGTGATTTCCACTTTTGTTCTCAGTGGCATTGTGGGCACCTGTGTCTGGTGACCTCCCCAAAGCAGCAACTGTCTTGTTTACCTTTGCGTCTATTGCAGTCATCAGCAGAGATGGGCCATCATCTCGGAGGTGCTTAATAGCAATCTATCACTAAGTGATAGTTATTTTTCATTCATCTCCCACTGGGTTGTAGTGATAAGCAAGATGATGCTGTATCTATCACTGGCCTTTTATGGGTGCTGTAGAGGAGGGAAGACTGCCCCCCACCCCCAATCTCCTATGTTCTCCACTGGGCCCCGGTAAATAAAACTGACAAAAGACATTATTAACAAGAGAAAAATAAACGGAAGCTTAGTAACGTGTGCATCACACATACACATGGGTGTACTCAATGACGAGTAACTCAAAGGGGTGGTTAGAATTTGGGCTTATGTAGAACCTTAACAGGACCATACATCTGTAGAGAAGTGACGAGACAAAAGGGACTTTGAGTTTCTAGGGTGGCCAATTATGGGAGGGCAGATATATAGGGAACTTATGGCAGATGCGTGCTGGTTAGTAAAGTTTGTTACAGGGATTCTCTGGTGATTACTCTTCCTGGTGGAGGGGGAGGGGGGGAGACACCTTTATATAGTATCTCCTGCTTTTAGGCAAATAGGGGAGGGCAGAGAGCTTTTCCTGTATCTGCTGCTTCTTCTCAATTGCCATCAACTAAAGATAATCCTCATGCCCAGGCGACACGTTTGGGGGTGCCGTGTCCGCCCTGCTTTGGCCCCTTGCGTGTAAGCTGTCCATAGCTGGTGTTTAATACATGTTGAATGAATTAAACTAGCCCGGGCTCTTTTAGCCTTGCTTCCCTTCTGCTTTGCCTGCAGCAATGCCTTCGTTCTCCTCTTGGGATGCTGGCGGAATGTAATCAAGTGATAGCTAGAAACATACTGTGAGAAAAGGTTAAAGCGTTGTATGGATACAAGGTGTTGTTACTTCCAGTCCAATCTCTAAGAGCAAGAAATCGTAATGAGCTTTCAGGAAATGTTGGCCAGTAGTCTCCCACCGTTTACCCCTCCCCCTTGTAAGCAAGCTGTAATGATTGTGTAATAAATACTTCCTCACAGGTATGAATTAGGAGCCGCTCTGTTCATTGGATGGTCGGGAGCCTCACTCTGCATAATCGGTGGCGTCATATTTTGCTTTTCAATATATGAGGGCAACAAAACACCCAGGTATGAGGAAAAAAACCCAAAACGACCCATTAAGTACAGTACTGTTCTGAATTACTACATGTGAGGCAAATTATACGTCACAATTCTTAGAAACTTCAAATACCTGGAATTGGGAAAGGTGGGGAATAGACAGTAAACTTAATATTAAACACAGTAAATACTATATTGAATATAGTTCATTATGATTTTTTAAAAAATCATAAAAAGCTTGTCCATCTTACATCCCAAAGCTATTTGTTAGGAGAAATATGGACCTGACCCCTGGGCATTCTTCACTTCAGCCTCCTCCTGATTTTCACATAGAAATTGCTGATGAAGGTCACCATAGTCTTCTAGGTTCCAAGAAGAGGAGCTTTATTTTTTTGATTTTTTAAAAAATCTTTTTATTTATTTATTTTTAATTTTTTAAATTTAATTATTGTTCAAGTTGTTTTCTGTTTTTTTACTCCCATCCCAGCCCACCCCCTAGTGCTCCCCACCTCCCTTCCATTTCCACCCCCTTTACTTGTTGTCCATGTGTCCTTTATACTTGTTCTTGTAAATCCTGCCCCTTTTCCCCTGAAATTCCCTCCCCTCTCCCCTCTGGTCAATAATAGTTTTGAAGAAGAACCACCGAACAAGTGAAAAAGCCCGGAGTCTCTCCTGCAGAGGTTCTTCATCCCACTAATGGTTCAGAAGTGACGTTGAAATATTTCTTGGGGAGACAGCAAACTTAAAGTATTTATCAGGGAGGCCCGATCTCAGCCGGGACAGAAAGAGGGGGAGGTGGTTTTTTCCCGTCTTTGTCTGCGCTGCGTGTACAGCAGAACCTGCCAAGCTCCACTTTGCCTTTCAGGATGGGATACACGTACAATGGGCCCACGTCTGTCGTGTCTTCGCGGATGAAGTATCACGGGGGACCAGACGCTAAAACTGCAAACCCTCCGAAACAGTTCGACAAGAACGCGTATGTCTGAGGCGAGCACGGAGGCAGCCCGTCTGGAGTTTGTTACAAAGGGGCACCAGTCACAAAACGGCCCCATCAAGGCCCTCCTAGAATTAACACTCAAACTATTCTGAAAACACAGATGTGAAGAATTTGTTGATTGCGTGGATGTACGTGTTCTTACATAGTTACATACGAATCATTTTCTGTCGTGGCTATGAAAAAAATAAAGAGGCTATTTCTAGGATTTGTATACATTTTATACACGTGTAGCATGTTATTTAGCACTGCAAGGGGGCAAGAAGGATTTTGTAAAGTAGCCTTACTTATGTTGATGTCTTTGCCCCCTTCCTTAGGTCTCTTTCTTCATAGATATAACAGAAAGCATATAAGAAGCGGTGTCTTGGGGAGACAGCATGGGGTGATCTGTCTCCATTCCTCAAAAGATGTCTGGGTTGAACAGGTGTGCTCCCGGCTACAGGTCGTGACTTCCAGTTTCTCGTACCTGTCAGCCATCACTGGAATTCACAGTGACTGTTCAAAGAAGGCTCCGGGGGGGGGGGGGGGGGTGCGGCCAAGACGTCATGGCCCATTCCCTGGCTCGTCCACCATGAGTAACTGCTTAGGCACGTCTGAGACAGAACACAAGCTCTGGGGACTCTGAAGCCAACAGAGGAGGTCCCAGAGCCTGCCTGGCACCTGCCTCTCACAGGACCGACAGGCCAGGTCCTGATGTCCCTTAGGTCCTGAGGGCAGAACGAACTGGGTAATGGAGAGACCATTTTTGAAGTATGTAAGTCGCTCCATTGGTTTTTGAACAAAGACTGTGACCTATTTTTAAAGCCAGCCCTTTACCACGTGCGTGGCACCATTCTGAACACTTTACGTGCCCTCACTCACTTCATCCTCACAGCTGCCCACTCGGGTTGGACAGTTAGAATCGTGCACTGAGAGGGAAGTAAAGGACAGCAGGGCTTAAATAACTTACCACAGCGCAGGACAGAACATGGACTTTGAATGGGGGCAGCCTGGGGTGAAGTGGGTAGTTTCAAGCTTTGGATGAGAGTTGGCACCTGTGTTACCTGTGAGCAAGGCTCTTCCCGACACTAATCACAGCGTGGCTGAAAATAGCATTTCCTGAAGCGTGAAAGACTTAAAAGGGAAAGTCACACTGGCTGGAGGGGCTCAGTGGAAAGAAAAGAAAATGAACATGTGTACTATGCATCTTTCTCTCTTTCCTTTTTCAAATACAAGCAAAAGTTTCCGTAGGAAGTTACAGGTGGAGAAGAAATGAGCTGCGGGAGGAGTGAGTCAGCGGGGCTGTGGGCGTCCCAGTCAAAGCCTGTTCCAGAGCCTCCAATTTGTGTCCCATTGTAACGAAAACAGATTCCTACTGGATTGCATGAATACGACCGTATTTCCATGAAAACAATCATGCTCATTCACAGTCTCCAAACTTCTTGGGGGATCAGAAAGGAGGAAAAATATAAATGTTTCAATGTTGCTTACAAAGGTATAACTTACCAAACTGTTCTCCAAGGAAAAAAGGGAGAAAAGGGTTGCTTATATCGCACAGACAGCTGACTGAATTCCGAACATGTTTCCTTCCTCCAAATGTGACGTGTGTTCGGGGGAGCGGGTGGCACGTGCAGAGAGAGTGGGGACCAGTCCACCAAGAGCACTAGCTCCTGGCCGGCTCACCGTCTGTTACAGGCCCAAGGTTCCTGCGACTGATGCTTCAAAACAAAAGACCGACACTCAGTAGATCAGAGTTTAGAGCAAGGAAAGATTTATTGACCAGCAAAGCCTCGTTTGAGAAGGTGGAGGAACTAATTCTCAAATCCATCTCAAAAATAGCTACATTTTATCATAAAACATCCAAGGTAAAGGTTACGCTGCAGAAATGGTACTTCTCCAAAGTAATCGTTTGGTAATGACATGCCTGTGATGGCTGAGAGCCACACATGGTAAAGGTACTTCTGGAAAATGTCTTTATCATGGGCCCAGCTATGTTTTTAGTTCTAAACTTCTATATGAAAAATAACCAATCTACCCTTAAGATTTCACTGACTCTACTGTTTTAAAGATACTAATAGAATTTTATGATAAACCACTTCCAGTGAGATAACATACATAAGAACCATGTAAAGCTTTAACTCAGACCCAAAATATGCTGTAGTTAAATTTTTCACTTAAAAATTAGTTGGAAGAAATACACTGAAACACTACAGGACTGTTTTAAAGAAAAAACTTTTTATGAATTTAATGACATGCTATTTTTAAGAAGCAGACATTTTAAACACCTTTATATTCTTCAAAATTCTGTTGCTAGTTTGTTTTTAGGGACGGTGTCAGGTGCCATTAAAGAGATCCTTGTTCTTTGAATCAGCTTCCTAGTTGTTGTGGGAAATGCTGTAAGGCTGGAGTGACTGTATGGTGTTGGCAAGTTACTGACATTCTGTGACACCGAAATACTCTTGGCACCTGGATCTTCTGGCATGTGGGATTGGTTACACATCTGAAGAGTCACTCCAGTCGGTCACAGTCACTAAGCTGCTCTTCAGGGTGCTTTGTTCATCTTGAAGTCCTGTGCAGCGGTGGGGGGAGAGAGAGAAGGAGGAAGAGGAGGTCCCAGTGATTAAATGAGCACATTGTCCAGCCTGTAAACATCCGTAACTTCCTACTGCAGTTTATCACTCAGTGTGTCGTGCAGGTGTGTCCACCAGCCCCCACCCCCGGCTCCCACAGCTGTGCAGGAGGCTACAGTGCCACGTGACCACAGAGTGGCCGAGTCCCTCAGGTACGTTCCAGGACCCTAGCAGGTGCCCGGCCTCTTCCCTGCATTCAGCACAGGGACAGGAGGGTGACACAGATCTCAGTTCATTTTTGTCGTTACTGTTATGGACTTGGAGTGAGTAGGTGGTAAGGAAAGAAGAACAAAATTAACAAACCAACTAGGAAGTGAACAGTAAAAATGGGTTTTCTGGAGTAAATGCACTTAAAAACTGTCTCAGGCCTTTTGAAATAGTATGGTTCCAAAAATTCCACTTGAGTTTGATTTTAGATCATTTTTATGTGTGTGCTTGTTATTTTGAGGTCACGGCACTGGGAGAAGGGGAAGGAAGAAATGGGTTCAGACAGACCTCTCTGCCCATGAACTCAGGAGTCACTCTACCGCAGACACAGCCTTGGCTTTGACACTGGTAGGATGGACATTCACACACAGCACTTCTGGTCACCTACTGACACTTCCAGAATGGAGGTCAAAGTTACGAGCTGACAGTGTGAAACCAAAGGCGCGGCTGACACAGTGGTGGAGGGCAAGGGCGAGGTCAAGGGTAGAGGCAGCGATGGTTCATTTTACAAAGAGGGGTGGGCGAGATACATGGCTGCACACGGCCAGAGCAACAGTTGACATGAATGTGTATTAATTCAAAATTGCAAACATGGCCCCAAAAATACTGGCGGGAGGGCAGGAGAGGTGCAGTGAGTGGAGATAATGGGCCAAATCTTCATGTGTCTGAGCAGGACATGAACAGCTAACGCCTAAAGCTGGTCCGTCTAGGAGTCGTGGTCAGCCCAGGACCCCGTTACTCGGGCAGGGAGGTGTTCAGCGGAGGGGCGGAGAGGATGGAAGAGGCTGGGCCGGGGAGGGGCCCTTCTCTCCGACGGGACTTTCACTACAAGTGACAGTTACTTTGATGAAGAATATAAATAGCATTTTCTAATTTTAAAAATCGAACGCATCAACAGTTAAGTCTCTGGACTCATGCAGACTCTGGGACTTATCCAGGGACAATTTCATCATTTGCCACTTATCCCACTGGCTATAATGTCACAAGAAAAATCTTCCTTCGAAGAAAATAAAAATGCTTAATACATAACCAGAATCATTCAGCAAGACTATGCCAAATGAAAGGCCCTATTCAAGTATATGATCAGAAATTTTAATTTCTATAGGGCACCCCCCATAAGGCGTATATATATTCACACGGGCATTTTGAAAACTAACATAAAATTTAGCCCTGGCTGGTGTGGCTCAGCGGATCGAGTGCTGGCCTGTGGAGCGAAAGGTCGCTGGTTCAATTCCCATTCAGGGTGCATGCCCGGGTTGGGGGGCTAGGCCCCCACTTCAGGGCATGAGAGAGGCAACCGACCACTGTTTTTCTCACCCATCATGTTTCTCTCACTCTCTTTCTTCCTTTTTTCCCTCTCCCTAAAAATAAATGAAACACTTAAAAAATAATAGAAAATTAAATACTAAAGATTAGGCCTGAAATTAAATAAGGATAACTAACAAATGCACACAGATCAGCAAGTTGCGTACATTCAGTCCTTATTAAAGTAACATAAAGCACCAAGGCTTCTGTTATGCTGACAGAGTGTTTTGGCCTGAGGATGCACCGATCGGCACAGTCTAATTAGGTGTTTATAAAGACCCGACATGAACAACCGGAAAGTGGGCCGAGCTTCTGCGCGACACCAAAGCGACAAACCTTCTCCCCTCGGCCCGGGGAGGACGGGCGCCCCCCAGGCAGTTGGCACTTGAGTGGCGTGGGACTCCTTCTTCACGGGAAGGGGTTCTCTCTGCTCTTTCCCGTCTTTCTTCCCCAGGGATTTGTCCTCCATCAGGGACGACACGTCCCAGTCGTCGTCGTCCACGTCTGAGCACTGGAAGACACAGGCGGAGAGCAGCGTCTCTTAAAGAAGGGGCGCCAGCGGAGCCCCTGCATCACCCTGTCGGCCAGACCCAGCTCCACCGGCACCAACTGAGAGGAAGCTGGGCACCTGCGGATCCCTCCGCTGGTCACTTCTGGGGCACAGTGAAGTGGAGTCAGAAGTCCGTGTTTTGAAAACAGAGGGACACCCCTCTTTGTTTCTTGCTCTACCAATCATGAATTTAGGAAACTCCAGAAACACTACATTTTAGAAGTAAAGTTAGGACGCTCCTTAACATAGGTGCCGGGCCGTCTGTGGAGCTGTTACCTGAGATAAATGACAATTAATCCCTAACCAGAAGGACCATGCATGTCTACCACACCCTTTCTAAGGAAGACAGGTGAGCTTGGCCTTGAAACACAAGGCTTTTTGTTCCATTTGGCTTGTGCAGCACAAATGCGGTAACTAATTGAAAACAGTTTGACAGAAGGCTCCAGATTCTGTGGATGAACAGGGAAAGAATCAATCTAAGTGAACAATCAGGAGAAACCGACTAGTGCTGGAAGCCTCTGTCAACCGCAGGAGCTGTGCCCGGAAACGCGAAGGGAGATCCATATCCACAGAAACACTTGCTCCTGTGTCCTGGGCGCCGACCAGCTCAGGATGCATGCGGGCCTCTCCTCTGCTCGGCTGCGGGGCGGGGAGCTCGGGCTCTGCTCTCGGCTCGGCTCGCACATCTTTTGGAAGGGTTTTTCTACTGACTGCCAAGCTGGGTTAAACTCTGAAGAGTCCGTTGTATTCCCAGGTCACACCGTGGGAGCAGAAAAGTCCCTGGACTCAGATGTAGAGATCCCAGATTCTGGGCAGTCACTAGGTTCCAGTTGGGAATATACCCTAGGAATCCCGAGACACCAGTTCAAAAGAACTCGTTCACACCCATGTTCATAGCAGTGTTATTGACAATGGCTGGGTGTTGGAAACAGCCTAAGTGCCCATTTGTCGATGAGTACATTAAAAAACTGTGGTTCATCTACACGGTGGAATACTACACAGCAGAACGAAAGAAGAAGGAATTCCTACCCTTTGTGACAGCGTGGATGGAACTGGAGAGCATTATGAAATACAAATGTCATATAATATCACCTATAAGAGGAACCTAATGAAAAAAACACCCTGATAAACAAAGTAGAATGAGAGACATGGAAACGGGGAACAGCTGACAGAGGAAAGGGGGTGGGGGAAATGGTGGGAAGGACGTAGTCAAAGAACATGCACGACCGACCATGGACATGGACACGGACAACGGGGTGGGGATGGACTATGGGGGGGCTGGACGGAGCAGGGTAAAGAGGGAAAACTGGGACAACTGGAATAGAATAAATGAGAATATAAAAGAAAACAAGTTTCAGCGTGCAAATCACCCAATATCTGCAAGCATCAAATAATACAGGGGAGAGGATTCTGAGAGTCTGGAAAGCCTGATAAGCAAGCATATGACGTGCTATTACCAGTTATCACTCCACTATCTCTGACTGTCTGTGGAAGGGGAAGAAGGGCAGTACTGAAAACGAGCAAAGGTAAAAACCTCACCCTCTACATGACGAAAAATAAAATTAAGGTGCGTTCATTAAAAGGTGAAATTCTCCATGTACGTTTAGCAAGTAAAAGTACTTTCTTTCACCTTTAGTTCTTCTTTGAACTCTCGTCGGAGGAAAGCCTCGGCGACATTAATCCCACCGACTGGCCTGCTCACATTTCTTTGATTTGAAACCGTCTTTTCAACTTTTTCAGCTAATGTTTTAATGGCGGTTCCTGTGGGACCAATAGAAAACAGGAAAAGTGTTTAAAAACTGGTCTCTATCTTCAGTGCCAAAATAACCCAACAAACAAGTCTGAAAAACTCTTGGCTTTGCAAGTAATGGTGTACTATCAAAATAAACTCAAGTGATGTATTTTGGGAGGTTAAAAATGTTACATTAAATTACTTATAATTCTTTTAAAAATATAATGACCCTGTAGACTAGGAGTAGTAAAATTTTCATTTTAAACCAAAGGAGGATGGTCTCATACTGATCAGAAACCTTAATTTCAGTGAGGTAACCTGAACAAAAGAAATACTCACCTGGGTATTTTCAAAAACAATATTAATTATTTTAAAGGAATTACTTAATAGTTTACGCAATTACATGAATATACCTATATATAAATTATATGCAATACAATAAATGAATTACAGCTGATATGGTTAAAACATACTTTAAAAATTACTTCGAGAATTTCTTGTTGAAAAAGTGAACCTGCAGCACCTTGGGCAGGTGAGCAGCCCTCACAGACGCGGCCCTGACGCCCCTTCAGAGCAGCCCCATCTCGAAAAGGCTGCGGAATGTACTAGAAGAGCCATTCTCAGACACCCAGTTTTACGGGTTGATTTGTGTCTCTCCAAACGCATATGTTGAAGCTCTAGCCCCAGCATCTCAGAATGTGACTTCATTTAGAAAATAAGGGCCTTTAAAGAGACAGTCGAGTTGAACTGAGGTCACTGGGGTAAGCCCCAGCCCAGTACGACCGATGCCCTTACAAAAACGGGACAGCTGGACACTGATACGCTCACTGAGGGAAGTCGATGTAATGACACACAGGACGACGGCCATCTGCAAGAACAGAGCCACAGGACGGGTCCCTGTGGCCTCCAGAAGGGACCAGCTCTGCCACCCCTGGCCTTCCACCCTCTGGAACTCTGAGACGAGGCATTTCCTTTGTGGGAGCTGCAGCAGCCGCAGGAAACTAATACACCTGGGCGTTCCTGACTCCCGCCTCTTCTTCCTCCTGAACATCAAGGTGGCTAAGCCCCGCCCACTTTCCGGGGCAGCAGCAGCTGTGCAGAACCCATCCTCCCCTCAGCACCCGTGCAGCCCAGACTGCCAGTGAGTGGAGCCCCCGGTCGAGAGCCACTGCCCCCCATGCAAAGTGTCCCGAAGGATTCTCAATGGCGAGAGCTCACCTGTGGGCTTGGGCGAAATATCCGAGTCCTCGATTTCACTTCCTTCCGTCCAGTCAGTATCACTTTTGACAATTTTCCTTGTGAAGCCACTCTTGCTGCTTTTGGATGACTGCACGAGAGGTAAGTCTGGGGACGTGTAAGCCTGGATGAGGTCACCAGCTTCCAGCTCCTCCTCAGAGCTAAAGGGAGGCGTCCTAAACAAAGCAAAGCCCAGACAGGGCGCAGGGTGCCCAGGCCTCAGGCTTTGCAAGTGACATGCCTCTCAACGCGGTCGGAGGTAATTCCCAAGGTGCGTAACTAACGCCAGTTTGGCCGCCGGGCAAGGCCCAGGATTTGTGCAACAGGCTGAGGGGTCATTGCAAATCTAGACCTGCCACCATGGGGCGTATTTGCCAAAATGGAGGCAAGTACGGCAGCGTGCCTCTAAACCCAAACTTGTATATTCTTAACCTTCTTGGTTAAGAATATACTCACCTTGGGTGACTTTTTACTCACCCAAGAAAACTATTTCTCAGTGGGGGGAAAAATAGTTTTGGCAATAAACTACTCCACCTTTTAAAATAGGGTCATTATTTATAGCTTATCTTTATACTGCATCTTAAAAAGTGCTGTTACAATCTCGTTTGTGATATTGGCACATGAATTGTCACCCCATTTAAAGGTGAAATAAAAGTTCAGAGCAGTGCTCATTCACCTAAAAAGTACTCACTGAGCACATGGATTCCAGACATTGTTCGGTTACCCCAAATCCCAGGAGATAAAGCTCTTCCCATGACGTTATGTACATGAAAAGTGGTTTTGAAGGGTAAATCATTATTTAGATGGTCCTTAATGTCTTCTATTTTTACTGTCTCTACTACATATATACACGCATAAGGCCCCCAGGAAGAGATTGAGAGGATTAACATCTCTGGAATAAGTCAATAATGATGACATTTAATTAGGAAATCAGTTTTACTCATCACTAATAACAACACCTATAATGCATTGAGTGCCAAACACCGAGGCCCAGCCCTTCTCCTATGTTCTTGTTAAATCATCAAACTATCCTGTGCAAAAGGCAGCACCAGCCCACCTTACAGATAAGAAAACTGAGGCTTCACATTGGTACGCAATTGAATCGATGGCACAGAGTTAGTAAGTGACTGAGGCAGGAATCTTCGTGTCCTAAGAGAGCCTTGGAATGGTAAAGTACCACCTGACCACACTGCCACGGATCCAGCCGTTAAAAGTCCTCACCATGCCTTTCATTTATCGAGCTTGTTAAAAATTACTGGACACGGAGGGGGATAATGGAAGGAACCCGGGGTGGTCCTGTCTCCATGGAGGCCACAATGCAACAAGTGCTACTAAATCATGCAATAACTAACGAAGAAACAAAGAAACACCCCAGAAGAATAACACATAAATTATGACAGTCAGGGCTTCGGTTGACGGTAATGCCCATGGTGGTTTACAATGAAAGGAACGGCCAGTGAAAAGGGGTTTTTAAATGACCTCCCCCTGCGCCCCACTGCCCCAAGTACTCACGTAATACTGGAAGACTTCCTGGGAAAATGATCTTCTATGACATTTTTCTTAATTCTAAAAAAACAACAGAGAACTACTTCTAAGCAACCTGAGTCCATAATGTAATTTAATACCAATTTCTATGGAATATGGAATGGGTGATTTTTGCACTCGATGTGCATTACAGAGGATGAGCAATGATGACTCCCCACGTACCAGTGGGAGGTGGGTGGGCGCGGCAGCTGTGACTCTGTGGCCCTGGACACTGCTGTGGGCTCCGTGTCTGTGTCCCCCTAAACCCACATATTGAGTCCCTACCCCCCCGAAAGTGACGGCATCTAGAGATGGGGCCCCTGGGAGAGAATTGAGTTTATCTGAGGTCACAAGGCTGGGGCCCCATGACGGGGTTAGTGTCCTTGTAAGAAGGCAGAGGGCCCAGATCTCACCCCCGTTGCCAGGCCAGGGCAGCCAGAAGGCGGCCGTCTGCCAGCGTTGGAACGGACCTCTTAATGACCCGGCTGGCACCCGGACCTCGGGCGTCAGGCCTCCAGAAGTGTGAGAAAGTGAATCTCCGTCATGTACACTGCCTGGTCCATGGTATCTCGGTAGGGCAGCCCGAGCTGACCAAGACAAACACTAACAAAAACATCTTAGGAGTGGAAAATACTCACTTTGGAACAGATGTTCTATCCGTGAAAACGGGTCTTTGTTTGACCAACTGCCTGCTTTTGGGAGGAAGCTGTATTGCTTTGGGTGTTTCTCCCGCTGAAAAGGCGTCCAGTTGAGAAGCACTGTTCCTGTCTGGAATAGTGTATCTCTCGTGAGTCTTCGTTGCAGGAAAATGCAGGAGAAAGACTACAATACTGGCTGTGCTGGTGCTGAAATGAGCAGCCTGTCTCCAGGGTCTAGAGCCCACACTACAATTTTTTTTTAATGTGAAAACAAAATTAGCCCCGGCTGGTGTAGCTCAGTGGATTGAGCATGGGCCTGCGAACCAAAGGATCGTGGTTCGATTCCCAGTCAGGGCACATGCCTGGGTTGCAGGCCAGTTCCCAGCAGGGGACGCATGAGAGGCAACCATACATTGAAATTTCTCTCCCTCTCTCCTTTCCTTCCCCTCTAAAGATAAATAAGTAAAAAATCATTTAAAAAGGTGTTTTAAAAAATTAAAAACCCCAAAACATTTACTGGTTCAAACAGTAATAAAGTTTCAAATTAAGTGCCAAAGTTTGTGAACCATTTAAAATCATGAAAAGGTGGTTCTGTCTCACTCCCCTCTGCAGAAATGAAGCAGCAGTTCATGAAAGGCTTACCCGAAGACAGTGATATTCTCTCATCAACTTTACAGCTGACCTGATGTTCAAGGGTTTCTCGAATTTGCTGGAAGTTAGGTATCTGTCTTTCCAGATCACGTCTTTTTGATTCCATGGTTCTGAGCACTCTGTGCAACTGATCACTTGAAATACCGCGTGTATCCTGAAGGAATAGAATGTTGAGTCGATCAATTATCCTGGGGTGTTTTTCATTTCAAGTGCATTTGTCAGCATTCACTGGGCCAACCTTTCATGCTTTCTGCCGCATGGGAGGTGGAAGACGCCCCAATATATAACATCTTGTGTGAGCCCCAAAAGGAGCTCACGGTGCAGTGGGCATAGGAGACACATGATGATCGTCTGTGGCTGGTTAGCGGGACGTGGCTGTGGATGCACAGAACACGTGTGTGACTGACTGTCCAACAATGCAAGGTGTATGGTAGGGACCAATGAGCCCACAAGGGCAGCAGGAGTTCCACAAAGAGAGGCTATCCAAGGCGCCAGTGGCCAGAGGAGGTTAAAGGGCAGGACCAGACTGTGCCCTGCAGGATGGGTGGAGTCACAGTGAAACAAGGGAGGATTCCTGTGGGTAGGGCCTGGGGCAGGGCAGGAAAGGCAGGGATTGAGGCAGAAGTAGTGGAGGCATGTCCAGGAACTGGTGCAGACAGGGAATGAGGAAGGAGCAGAAAAGGGGACTGAATGCCAGCATGCAAAGCTTAAAGATTATTCCATAAGCAAAAGAACGCCATCAGAGGCTTTCAATTATGAAAATAGCATAATTAAAAAGGTAATGTGAGAACATTCATCTGGATTTGATGACAGAAAAAACTGGTTAAAAGTCTGCTCATTCAGGAACAGTGGCATACGTGCTCCCGAATCCATCTCCCCAACACTCCCCCTCCTCCAGGTGTTTCGGGCTACAGGAAGTGGCCCCGCCATCCACCCAGATGCCCCAGATAGAAATCATCATCAGATCAAGTGCCACCTCTGGAGAGACTGAGGAATTTTCTCTGACCTCATTTATTCCATCCCCTCTTCTTTCTCTTCATTGCACGTCCCACAGTCGATCCTCATGGACCTACTATCTGTCCGCATGAACAGTTGTTCACTGCCTATCATCCTACAGCCGAATGGAAATACCCAATACTGTCCTGACGCCAATCCTTCCTAGTTAGTACGCAAAATTTAGGGCCATCCCAATTGGAATCCCAATAGGGGTTACTCTGGAACCACAGAAGCTGTTTCTTAAATTCACGGGAAAACAAAATATGGGAGAAGTGCCAAGAATTTTTTGAAATAAGACTAATGAACAAGGCATGGCCTATAGCAGGTATTAAAATGCAGGACAAAGCTATTGCAATTAGATCAGTATTCTGTCGGCAAAGGAATACAAAAAAGCAGGATGAAACAGAGGAAAGTCCAAAAAAATTCCAAATGTATATAGAAATTCCATATATGATAAAAGGGCTATTTCAAATAAATGGGAGAAGAAAGGATTGTTCAACAAATGATTTTGGGACAACTGATCCAACTGGAAATAAGATTAGATCTCCAACTCATTGCTTCCAAACTTAATTGTTAAAGCCCTGATAGAAAAACGAGGCAATAAACGTTTTTATAATCTTGGAATGAGAGGAAATGTCCCAAATAAAACATAAGACCCCCAAACCATATGCAAGCAGCCAACATGGAAACTATGATGCAACTCACACAGGAATTACTGACATTCACGAATGTGTTTGATTTCCACTCCCTGAGGGCGGTCAAAATCCACCCGAGAAGAGTGGCAACACTAATGTGAAGCAACGGGAACTCACACACTGATAGGGATAGTGTAAACTGGTACAAACTTGATAGTGTAAATTGGTACAAATTTGGTTACACCTATTCGAGTGAGACCTGCATACTCTTAGACTCTGCAGTCTCACTCCCAGACAGGCGTCCACTGAAAGGAATGCCCACGTCCGCCAAAAGCTACGTGTACGAATGCCATGGTCCAACAGAGCCTCGAATGAGAAATCCAAATGTCTGTCAACGGGAGTATAAATAAAATGTACATATTCAGTCCATAAACTACGACACTACAAATCACTGCTAAATGAAACTGCTACGAATCTTACAGATAAAATCATAAGCAAAATAAACCACCTATAAAATGCTACATGACATATGATTTCACTCATAGGAGGTTCAAGGACAAGCAAAATTAAGTTAGAATAGCCATTGTTTCTTGTTGACTAGTAAGGGATGATATGCACTAAGGAAAGACAAAGAGTGTCTTCTGGGGTATTGAAAATGACTGGTCTCTTGATCTGGGTGGTAGTTACAGATCATACACACACACCCATGCACACGAACTCAGATAAATCCTTATACACACATGTATACATACATATGTATACAGAAATACACATGGGAATGCACATGCACACCTATATAGACATGTCTGTATACACAGACCTATTTACACAAATGTCACACACATTCATACACATAAACATACATGCACATGCATGCGCACAACCCACTATACATGTGCACATGCCTGCACACACATGTATGTGTGGACAAAAGCAGGTTTACAATCGTGAGTATGCAAGCCGCAGAGTTTATTCTTGTACTGTTATTAATTATAGTATTTGTTTCCATGCTAACAACTGTAAACCTACCTTCACCCACCCCTGTACTTTTGCACACAAACATGTATGCATACACACATATGCAGTCAAACACACGTGTAGGTATACAAATTCAAGTTGCTTCCTTAAGATTCGTGCATTTTATGTATGTCAATAAAAAGGTAAAAAGCAAAGAATATGTATATTTCTATCTATCTATCTATCTATCTATCTATCTATCTATCTATCTATCTATCACATGTACTGGAACCATTCAACCTGGCAAAAACATCGAAGTAGAATTCATTCATCAGTTCATTTAACAAGGACTGCTTAAGTGCCGACGCTGTAGGAGGCAACAATTTGGAGGTAACGGCAGCACCGCTGCTGTCCAGGTGCCAACCCGGGCTCCTTCCTTACTAGCTGTGACCTGAAGCAAGTCCCTCCACTCCTCTGTAAAATGGAGGTGATATCGTCACTCGCCTTAGAGATTTGGGTCTATGTTTAAATGCTTTAACATCCATGAGGTTCTCAGAACGGCGGTGCTCTAACCTCCAGTCTCCTAATGTGGACAGAACTCACATCCCTCCTCTCATCTCTGATTCTTTCTTACTTAGGAAACAAAACCAGCAAACATTCCAAAAATGAATGCACTTACTGCATTAATCCCTAAGGTTTCCAATTTTCGCACCAAGTTCTGCTCCAAGATTGTTCTTATTTTCTTAGTGAGAGAAGGGTTATTCTTCAAAGCTTTCCTGAAATGGTTCTTGTGGTTATTTAATTTCTGTTCATTTTCCCTTCCTGAAATGAGGTTTTAAAAAATGTGTTAAGAAAGAAACAAATACATTAACTCTCTAAATATAAAATGATAAAACACAACTTTTAAACATCCAGTAAGCATTTGTAATCTTTTCAGTTTGGGGATATTTTAGTCATTCAACGCGGTATATGATGCTTAAGGACTATACTTTAAACATTTTGTTAAGTCAGGTCCAATACTTCAAATGTCTTTAAAGACTCTTTCTTAATCATGTAACCAAACTATAGCTGGATAAATAATGCAAGAAACGTGTCTCTAAAGAAGCACAATGAAAAACAACCTTATTTAGAAGTTTAATGTTTTATTCTGAAATTATTTTATTGCTCCTGAATAATTCATTTCTCCTAAATTAAGTTAGAATTTATGTAACATTTTAAGAAGAAAAAGCTCAATGTATTTTAAATAATTAAGTTTTAATATAGTAAATGTAGTAGAAGTTGAGTTGATATAAAATTTCAAAATGTGAAATTATCCCTCTTAAAATATTTACCAAAGTGAAAAAGAGGTTAACAGAAGTCTTAGGCAAAGCACCCTTTGTTTAAAACAACCCTTAATTAAAAAGAAAGAAAAAATAACAGGCCAGGTTCTTCTAGCTTTCCCTTGCCCATTCCTCTTTTATTCCCTCCCTCAAACATGCCTAGTTCAAGAGATTCCTGAGAAGGGGTATAATCACGTGACCTTGAAGAAGCATCCTACGTCAGAGGAAATGGAAAGCTTAATGAAAGAGACCTGATGCTGGGCAGTTACGACCCCTCATTAAGGTCCAAAGGCAGATCTGGGAGGCACAACAACGCCTCTCGTTTTGGAGTCCGGCCTTCTAGTCTCTGAGCAAGGGCATTTCACCGAATCAGGGTGGCACCAGATGCCACGGCCTGGGTCTGGGGCTGTAGTCACCCCTTTCCCCTGCGGCCTCATCTACCTCAGCAGGTAGATTTGTAGGTACCAGGGCATCTGGATTTGCAGACCTGCTGCAAAGGAGCAAAACTCCTTTGGTTAAGATGTTTTCTAAATGCTAGTTCAATTCCAGTAGTGAAGAGTATGTCTGTTCATCAGCAAACAGTTTTGCTGACAGCAGAATTAGTCAAATTACTATTTGTACCTTAAGTAAGAGGAAATATCCTGCATGATGATGCTTTTCTATACTTTGCTACTGCAGGTTGCTAAATCGAAATTTTGTATGATCACATCTGATTAAAAGTCACAAGTAATCTTAAATGTTGTACTCCCGGCACTTAGGCTGCTGGCTTCCCAACCACTGTTCTCTAGTATTCTGAAACCGCCCCAGAAGTGCTTCTGTCCTCGAAACTGACCATACATCATCATCTAGAGGGCTCAGCCACAGCCACGCTGTGTCGCTGACTTTGGCAGCTGACTGGCCACCGAGTCTACAACTACCCAGGGCTAAAAATAGAAAGAGGAACCAAGAGACGGTCTGGGAGTCATGGTGCTACCGCTGACATGCAGACACGCCCTGTCCTGGTCCCCCAGAGATCGCCTTTCTGGCCAGTTTCTGGGATACACAGGGGACCACACAGAAGCAGGGCTTGAAGAAAAGATGTGGGCCCTGTGCACCACGGGACATAAGACATGCAAGGGCCCAGGGTTGTGCGGAATGGTCACAGCTTAGAAGAGTCGTAAGGTCTTCGGTGACAGCCGCTGAATTCACTGTTGACTGATCTGGGTTCACCTTCAACCAGGACAAGTTCCTTTTGGTGACTTAGTTTCCCCAATGGCCATGGATTAAACATTTCCTTCTGTTCTCTAACTCACTTTCTATGTTGGCAGTGGCTTTGGAAAGCCACTTATGAATAATTAGAAGGCCCCTGGTTGGAAATATTCTTCCAAAGCCGTAGCTGGCCAATGGGAGAAGGCAGAGTGGACAGGAAGAAGACGAGTAAGGACGATCAAGTTTTTAGGTAAAGATGGAATTACTTGAAAACCAATAACCACGGAAGATTTTAGTTAAAGCGTGTGTTGCTCACCAAGATGAACAGAACAAAACTTCCTAGATGTCAGCACTTCCTCTAATTGCAAAGGTGAAAGCTTATGAAAGCCGACGGCCAATGCGCAACAACCTATACATGGTCGGTTCTATCAGCAGCACAACACAGCCTTTGTGGGAAGCAAATAACTGCAGCACAAAGCGAACGGTAAAAACCAAAAGCAGAACTTCTGAGTTGGAAGGGACTCTATCAGGTATTAACGAACCTCCTCCTTTTTCACGAGGACACCAAAACCACAGAGATGAAGACCTGCCCTCAGGCCGCCGGCCAGTCCCGCCCAGCCTGGCCCAGCTCCATCACCTTGTTCTTTGTGTTCAACTATGGAAAGCAGAAAACCCGGACTTAACTCCAGCCTTGTCAAGAATCAGACTCGAGGACGTGGGGCACGCTCCTGGTCTTCTTTTCAAGTTTCTGAATAATAAAATAGCCTCCACACTACCTCCCGGCCCTCACATCCTCTCACACTCCCAACAGCCAGACCAAGGACGCCTCCACACACTACCCACGGGGAAGGATGCAGAAACAGTCTCCCCAAGGGGCTGCTTCTCCGAGACAGCCCGTGTTTGCAAACCCCTGCCCGAGGCATTCACTGCACAGGCATTACCTGCAAAATGTGAGCCCAGGCTGCGGAACTGCTGGGTGGCAGTTAGCCTGCTGCCCGCAGGCAGGGCCTGCAAAGGCACTGCAAGGACATGGGAGCCATTTCTGTCACGTGGCATTTGGACTCTGGGGTGTTTTTCATGGCCCTCAGTACTTCCTCCCACGAGAGCTGCCTCTGAACCCAAGGAGGGTGGCGAAGATTTTCTTTCCCTGACTCTCCAAATGTGGCAACAATCTACAATGGTGTTTGGGGTCAGTGACCCCAAACTCACGCCCCATGTGCTCCAGGTAGAAGAACCATTAAAAGAAACACAGGCAGGAGGATGCAGTGGGTAGAACCTGGAGCCCAGGTGGCGATGGTGGACCAATCAGAATCCCTCTTGGAACCTAGCTGACTCTTTTTTTTTTTCTAATGAATGTAAACTCTATGACCCAAGGCTCCAGTCTGACCTCTTTCATGAACCTCCTGACACAGCTCATGAATTCTCCAGAGAATAAGATATTTTGTGGTCCACGCCTCAATAGATGATATGTAAGCAAGAGAAAGCACGTTACTTGAAACTAAAATGAAAAGACACAGCACATAGTTATGGATATCCCTGATTTAGTCACTTCTCAATTTGTAGCCTTGTGAAAGAAATTTTGAAAAGTGTCTTCTAGAACACAGAGGTTATCCTAAATATTAAGACTTCATGTATTAGAATATATCATTTTGCAAAATCAGCACGCTTATAAATATTGAGTTTGCTTTCTTCTAAAGAAGTGATAGGTGATAAAGTATTATTATTACTAAGGGGAAAATTATGATAAACTGATTCAAATAGAATTTTCAAAACTACAGGTCTAGCATTAGAAAATATCTTAATGAGGTACAATGACTTTCATAAGCTTCAAACATTAATTCCTAGAAAACAATTTTGAGAACTGCCAAATAAAAGAGTAAGCAGCAATATTTTAAGTATCTCCCCCAAACCTACAACAGCTCCCAGATTCCACCAAAAACATTATTCTGCACATAAATAGTCCACATTCAGAGCTTAAATACTTTGCTTTCCTTTCTATTAAAACAATGTTTGAAGTGGACACTTCACCCGTGAGTTCATGTCACAGACCCAGGGTATGAGAAACAACCACCGTGCCATGAATATTTTCGTAGCATCTGGCGCCCAATGTCATCCAATCAGAAAATACCTGTACTGATCTAAAGGCTTGAATTTGTTCTCAAATTCCCTGGCACAGGGAACTGACAATACAAATAAAGCAGGGGGATCTACGAGCACATTAGGGGAGAAGGGTGTACAGAACCGTGTACAGTTCATTGCACGCAGATTGAAAACACAACCCAGACCTCACCGTCTTCCCTCCTTTGGACACCGTGTGGTAAGAACCCCTGGACCGCATTTCCCAGGCGCGGGTTTTAGCATCTAGACATCACCTGCGCGGGGAAGTGCCCTGAGCAAGCCCTCGGTTACCTTTTTCTTCCTCTGAAAGTTCTTCTATTGGCTCCAGTATGTGCGATGAGAATGCCTGTTCTACTGACAAGGAAACATAAGAACAGTACAAAGAGGACAACAGCAAAGTGAAATTAGTTTCCTTTCAAACCGCGCTGAAAGCTGTAGTTTCACAGTACGCTAGCCATGTCTAAGACAGCGAGAATTTCCTGGGAAACAGTGTACGGAGGTGGTCGGTGAAAGCGGCTCTTTTTCATGGCATCAACTCTTTCTCCATATTTTCCATCAATTCCACTCTCAGGGTATTATGTTTTTAAATAATTAAGTTTAGGCTTTGCATTCATCCACCCTGTGCCTGAGAGGATTCTTTTAATGCACAACGACACTGCTGGACTGGGTGGCTAGATAGAAAATTAATGAAAATACTCAATTCCCAAAGATAAAAACCATAAGAAACTCCCAGGCACCTGGGATTCCCACTTCTCACACGCACCAGAGTCTTCAGGGGGTAGGACCGGGCTGGTAAAGAGCAAAAACAGGTGTCCCTAGGGCCAGCAGCCCGAGGGACAGCAGCAGGACTAAGACCCATTCCTCAGTACTTCCATGTCCCCAAACCACGTTTCAAGACCTAGTTCTGCTCCGAAAGGCAGCAGGGCGAGGCTGCAGACAAATGACAGATGAAGGTGGCCTTTCCCCGATCCCACCCCAGAACAGTGGCGGGGAAGACCAAGGTTACTGTGCAGACTGGAAACCCACAGGCAGCCTGGCCAAAGCCAAATCCCACTCTGACAGTGAAGAGTAAGTCCCTTCCAGGGAAGGTCAGGCTGTGGCTGAAGGTCTAACATGGAATGAAATGTCACCAGGGAGTCTCCGGGGGGCGCATGGTTCACTCATCTTCCACTTGGAGACTGACAGGGGCACCTCCCCGGGGAGCTCCGCACCTGCACCCACAGGGCAGAGGTCATCTCATTCTGCCACCAGACCCCAGAGCAGGTTACAGGTGAGAATGACAGTGGGCTCAGCAGGTTGCCGGGCATGTGCTTTGCATGTTATTAACGCAGATTTAATAGCTCCCACATTAAAAGTCTGGCTTTTAATTTATTAAAGGGTATTTCTGGTAGTCTATTGTAGGCATTAACAAACATGCACACACATATAACAGGTGTATATATATAAAATGTTTAGGTATATGTAAACAGGCTCTTTTAGCTTCTCCAGTGACCTTGGCCAACATATTTCACATTGGCTCTATGGGAGAAATGCATTTCAAACTGCTTTCCCATAAGCCTTTGGGGTACAGACCCTCAGCAAGTAGGGTCCACTTTAACCTCAGGCAGGAACGCAGTCCTGCTAAGCAGCACCAAAGTCCACCCATGCACCACCACTGGGGGGCACCCGAGTTTACAGACACACAAACAGACTGTTGGGCTAGTTTGAACTGCTGGAAGTAGAAACTTCAGGACAATCAATTTTAGGTTTTTTTATGTCACATGGTGTATTATTTTATTGTACTTCGTGAAAACAACAAAAATAAGGTTATGGGCTGAAAGTTCTATACAATCTCAAAAATCCTCATATGCATATTTATTATCATTTTGGTACTGGGATAATTCTGTGAGTCAGCTCTCTCGAGTTGGGAAAAACTGTCAAAATTCTGACTTTTCCTGGGGTGGTACAAAGTGGGAGGCCCCAGGGGAGGGGCGGTCGCTGCACCTGGGCTCCTGCTACTGAGGCTGAGGGAGGAAGTGAGGTGGCCAGGCCACTGCTCCCAGACCAAGCGGGCGCGGGCCCCACAGGGCAGGGCGGGAAGGGCCTGCCATTCTTATGCTTTCCAAGCCCCAGTTCCCGTCCTGAGCTGAGATCCCCGGGATGAGAGCTGAAATGCCCAGAGGCTTGGGTCTCTTGAACTTGCTGGATGCTTCCAGAAAAATCCTTCTATCAGAGCTCTGCCCTTACCTCCAGAAGAAAACCTCCCGGATTGGCACTCAGCCCTTTCTCCCACTGGGTGGGCTTCATCATCCCTACCCTTCGAGCCAACACTGAGCCGATGCCTACTCAGGGCTCCTGCTCCAAAGGCCCTGCCTCATTCGACCCTTTCTGCAGCCCACAGAAGCAGCCATCACGATTCTGATGATCAGGCAGCCAAGCAAACCCATGCCTACTGTTTTATGAGTCAACTGTGAACCCAGACTGCCCACCTCCACACTCCAGGCTGTTCGCCACAAAGCCATGATGTCCCCCTCCTGGCTCTCACTGAGTCTGTCTTCTGGATTCTCTAAACAGCGCTGCCATCAGCCCAGTACCTGAGCGTATCGTGTTCCACCTCTGCCCGTACCCTTGCCCCCCCAGCCCCTCATCCAGCCTTGCCACCAATTCCACGGAACGGCTGTGACGTCCACTCCCTTTGGCTCCATCCCTGCATCCCGATTCCTAGTGAGGAATCTCAGGCAGACTAGTACTAACACCCCCAACTGGTCTCCCCAGCACCAACTCTTTGAATGCACACGGGTCAGGCTAGGCTTCCTGAAGCCCCGTGCTCGCATCCAGCCTTGTCCAGCCTCGGAACGTTTGGTGGCTACACAATGCCACAGGAACAGGCACGCGCAGATGTAGTCAACTCGTGGTTGCCACAGTCTCAACCAACCTCATTTCCTTCAAATCTCTTCTGCCCGCCTACTCCGTGCTCAGCCAAATCGTTCATCTGCACTATATGTTAACATCGAGCGCTTTCCTGCTCCCTTCTGCTTCCATGTTTGCTTGGTTTCAGCTAAAGGGAGCAGCACCGCCACACTCCCTCCCAGATAGATGTGGGGCAACCCACATCTGGTAACTCATCACGCAATCCCGGAAGATTTGGAAGTGCACATCCCAGCTCTAAAGCCCCACAGCCCGCTGCCTGCCCGCCCCCCCTCCCCACCCCTGTAAGATCTGCCAAGGGCTCCGCAGCAGCCTTGCCTCTCAGTCCTGCTGTTCTCTCACTGGTGATGTCCGAGAGCGCAGCCTGCTAACCCTCCTGCCCGCAGACCTCCGCCTCAGTCTGTGTCTCAAGGGACCCAACCTAAGACCATGAATGACCATGACAATCTTCACACTACAGGACCTCATAGGGCTTTGAGACGGAACAAAAGGAAAGACAGAGGTACCAGGGCTAATTAATGTCATGCAATACCTGACTAGCCCCCCCTGCACCCCTAACCCAGGTGGGGCTGCGAGTAGGTTAGTGAGCCCCAGGCGAGCCTCCTCCCCGCTCCTGCCCATGGAGATACTCACAAATCACCTTTGATCCCAATCCAAGGATTGCAAACCCCGTGCCAGGTCAGGCTGGCATTTAAAACCAGCATTTCAATCACAGCAGATGCCAGCAGGAAGCCATGGTAGATTCATCCAGCCCTGGCCCCATCAGGGCGGGATCCAGATGGAACATATCGCTTTAGAACTAACAGGTTTGGCAGGACCCTTGAACGAACCCCAGGTAGCCTGACATTACAGACTGTGTGTGTCCTTTACAGGCACCGAAAATATAAAACAAAGGCCACGTGGTCCAAATATAATGCTATACAGAGAGCTAACTATACCAAAGTGGAAAAAGGAGCAAAAGAAACTAGACACTGTTGAAGGACCAAAGAGCAGTGGCCAGCAAATGCTTTATAAAAATCGACTTCAGAAAAGGAGTCAACAGAGCCATTCTAGGAAGCTGATCTAAAATGATGTGAATAGAGAATAATGCCAGGGGAAATTGTCTTGTTGTTCAACAGTAAGGTGCATTTCTGTAAGTCCGACATACATTTTATCTGTTACTGGCCCAAAGGGAATAATCCCTGTATGTCCTAAACACATAAACAGTGGTGTGCAGTGGGTGGGGAGTCTGCCTCACGTACCGCGAGCTCATGCCCAAGGGAACAGGTCCGCCTGCAATGACCTTAGGAAAGAGAACTAAGGGGCAACACATACTGCACAGGTCGTCCGGTCAGCAACAAGAATTCCAAAGGCCATCATCTACAGACCACAATATTTATGAAGCCAAAAATTTCGACTCGACTGATCATGGATTTAAATTTAATTAAAAAGCTAAAAACAAATGAGGAATGAAGGAGTCGCTGGGTAAAACAGGAAAGAGATGGGCTGCCTCCCATCTTGATTCATGTGGCATCTACAGCGAGACCGTAGGAAAATAACCCATTTAAAAACATACTGTACCAACTGTAAGTGCCTCGCTGTACAAAAGTAAAGCATGGGTAGCAACAGTCACCCTATTTACTGGGTCGTGAAATTACAATGATCGCCCCAGCGGCCTGGTCCAACAGCTGAATCCTCTGGTTTCATCCAGCGGTTCCTACTTTTTTTCCTTTGGTTCCTATCACATGTCTTTTTTAGATTTTTTTTTCCCCAGCCAATCGCAGAAACTATTTGTTTAAGAAGCTGGCTTGCTGCTGCATTAAAAGTTATCAAAACAATCACATATGCCCTGTGGCATGTGCTGGTTGGCTGGTCTAGGATCTGCTACTCTTTCCACCGAAAACCATAGGTGATGAAAGTACTACTCAAAGTTAAAATCTCTCCTTGTGAGCCCAGCAACACACGTATGTTACACTTCACACCTTTGGTGGGTATGTTCAGTTTATGATATTAAATAGGGAGATTAAAGCTTATTAACTGTTTTACATTCACCAAAATGTTTGTTTTGCATAATTACCCCCCAGAGAAAAGCACTTCCAGTTAATAAGTTATCTAGCTCAGGGTGGAAACTGCACATAAATCGCCGAGACTTTGCTGAGACTTACCATGGGCCACTGTAAGACTTGACTTAGCCTCCAGAGTTGGTGGAGCTGGGGCAGTCACTGAAACAGCATAAAAAAAGTCTACAATTAAAGCATAAGTGTCTGAACATGATGATAACCACATACTACTCCAATTAGTCAAGATATAAACAGAGCATAAGGCACAAATGTTTCAAATTAATCTAGACAATTTTTAAAATAATAGTTTTATCAGAATATAATTCACCCTTTTAAAATATACAGTTCAGCAGGTTTTAGTATATACACAAAATAGGCCTCTTTGGGGTATTGATGACTTTAGGCTGGTTCACTTTAACCAGTAGAAGTTACCAAGTTCAGAAAACTGTGGGACATACCAACCCACCACCTGTTTTTATAAATAAAGCTTTATTGGAACACGCTAGTGTCCCAGTATTATGCCGAGGAGAATGAAAGTCTGAACAATAATAACTGAGTGTCTTTTACCCTTTCAGCCTTCTCTTCAGAGAAGATGTCTTTCACTGCATTATTTTCCTCATTTCGTAAGATGTAGCCCAGCTCCTGCTCTCCCCTCAGCCCCCCTCTTCCCACAGAAACCACCGCCCCCTCTTCGGCTCCTTTCAGGCACCACAGACCCCAAAAGCCACAGCAAGGGTCCTCAAGATGCATCTCCAACGACTGACTGGCTTAAAACCATTAGCATTTTCAGGTCAGTGGTACCAAATTCGCCATCACCTTCACCACTGTTCTTCCCTCCTTACACAGTCCCGGGCCGGAGTAACAGTGCCGCCCGGTCCCCAGCCTCTGCCCAGGCCCCCCTGTCATAATCAAACCCCTGTGCATGGGCATGTCTTTCCTTGCCCAGGACCACCTGCTCCCTGACTTGCTCCCCCCTTACAATTTTCCTGAAGGGAAACAAAAATAAACTAAGAAAACAACCTGTTGGACTCTAAACAGTACAGATGATTTCCTTTGGGATGATGACCAAATCCTGATGCCTCTGGGGGACAGCTGTGCAGAGCTGAACCCCAGAGAGGGACAGAGGGGACGTCGGTTCAAAGCCTGTGAGCCTGAGTCTCAGAGAGGCCACCACAGGGCGGCCACCACACAGTCACATCCCCACACAGTGGACTACCTCGGGAAACCCAAAAGGACAGACTGGAGGGACGTTGACGGACGTGTAGTCGCCCCTCCATTAGATGAACTGCAAAATAATAGGGACGGCCAGCCAAGGTCGCCCCAGAGACACACGGGCATTCACAGCCTTGGGTTCAGAACTAGGTGGAAGCCAGGACCCAAAACAAATCACGACGTCATCTCCAAACACACTGGTTTTCAAAGCAAAGTCTCTGAAAATCAGTAGAAGCGATGTATCGGTTCAGCACTTAATAGAATGTCTTTAAAATCTGAGCTTATTATAGGAACTTACTAGGTACTGCCGAGGCAGCTGGCTTAGGTTCAACAGTCTGCCATGTTAAAGAATTCCCTGAAATAACAAAAAATAAATTAATAACAAAACCAACAAGCTATGGGTTATATCTTACCGGTACTTACCCTAAACTCTTCCCCCCATAAAACAATAAGTGAACTTCACGAACATATAGTGACTCACCCAATTGAGTAAAAGTGTTTAACAAATCCTTCTAAAGCGAACTTTTCCTAAAAATGCTCTGCAGTTAAATATTTACGCCATCTAAGTAACTAGGCAGGTACTTCTCACTACCTGAATTCTCATACTCAGAGAGAAGCTACGGGGAACCGCAGTCCTTCCCAAACCTTTCTCTCCAAACAAGAAGGAATGCCTCTGTGACTCTGAGTTTCCCAAGGCGGCCGGGACACAGAGACGCCCAGCCGGTGTCCCTCAGGTGGACAGAGATGCTTTCACGACCTGAGAGTGCAGGGAACGAGGCTAGGGTCACGTGGGAGGAGACCGGACAGAGGCAAGCTTTCTGTTTTACTGTGAGACCCTGTCCTTCTGGCTGCTGGTCTCCCATCTTGACTGTCTCCCGAATGACAAAGGAGTGGATGCTTTCACTGCTAGTTAGTGGGTGGTAAACGGTCTCACTGTTCTGAGAACAAATGTTTAACCCCGAACAGCTGCGAATGAGAAGAACGCAGCAAGCCTCTACAGCACTTTAAAACAGCTGGGGGGTAAAAGGGGATGGACGGAGACTCAACTTGGGGTGGTGAACACACAACACAGCGTACAGATGATGCCTTGTACGATCGTGCGCCTGAAACCTGTACAATTTTGTTAAACAGTGTCACCAAAAAAACTTCAATAGAAAGATAAAGAGATTTAAAAAATAAAATATTTGAATTTAATATCGATAACAACAGCCAGCACCGATGGATGTTTAACAGGTGTGCTTTTCACATGCTCTCCCGTATAATCCCTGTAAGAAGCCTCGGGTGTAGTTATTATCAATTGTCCAACTTGAGAAGGGAGGAAACTGAGGCACAGCCTCGCCAAGCTACACAGTGACAGATGGGAGTTGAGCCCAGCCTTTTCAATCCATCCACTGCTCATGAGCGCAGAGGTGAATGACTACCGAGCATAACAGTATTCTGTAAAAAATCGAGAAGACCATTGAAAAATAGTTCAGGCATTTAAAATTTGTTCCTCTTTCTGGACTGATAACAGATCTCCCAACCTGCAGTGACCAGAGGAATGCCAACTTAGCACCCACAATCCACTGGGGCCCCGTATTCTTCTGATTCCCAGCGAATGATTCCGGGGGCCGCCTTGCCTCCAGCACTGGGCTCCTGGTCCACTTACCTTTGGGTTCAATGACACTGTTTAATGGTTTACTGGTGAACTCTTTAATCTGCAAAGAGAAACAGTCTTCTAGCAATACATGTTTGAAACTACATAGGGATGCAATGGATAATGGACAGAGACTGGACTTAGGAAATTAACTTTCTCACAAAATCCTCCAAAAACACAGGGGGGCACATGGATTTCAAAGATAAGATGAAAAGTTTTATGAAAGCAGCATATGGATACAGCTGCTTCTCAAAGCAAATACTAAAAGAAATTCTTATCACCCTGGCTGGTGTAGCTCAGTGGATTGAGTGCTGGCCTATGAACCAAAGGGTCGCCGGTTCGATTCCCAGTCAAGGGACATGCCTGGGTCGTGGGCCAGGTCCCCAGTAAGGGGTGCGTGAGAAGCAACCACACACTGATATTTCTCTCCCTCTCTTTCTCCCTCCCTTCCCCTCTCTCTAAAGATAAATAAATCATTTAAAAAATAAAAATTCTTATCCATCTTCAAATTTGTTCTGAATCCTAATCAAGTAACTCTGCTCTACAATATTTTTAAATACTTTTTAAAAACCATTTGACTGAATTTACTTTATAAACAACGATAGGGAAAAACAGATTCCATTCTGTCTTATCCAACTTATGAATGTTCTAAAATAAAAACACATTTCTTCGATAAACTGCACCACTTAAAAAAAAAAATAGTGCCAATTTACAGCCAAAAATACCTGTTGTCTCTGGCTCATGATCAGTTCATTCCGTTCCTGGAGTGTCTGCTCCTGCTCTTCGATCTTTTTCTTGTAGAAAACATTATTGGCATTTAGATTGTCTATCACTAAGGTTCGAAGCTTCTCTATATGGGACAGGAGCTGGAAAAAAGGTTCGGAAAGGCCCCAGTCTGCAAACTGCCCGCAAACGGTCTTCGCAGCCTCTATGTCTACGCCCCGCCTTCTTCGCGGGCCTCATGTCTGTCGTCTGTGCACACTAACAGGTCACGGAGTAGATCTCTGATCGCCAGGTACCAGGCCCTATGTCACGGAAGATACTAACAAGTAATACTTGCATGCAGTCAAAGCAGCCCCAGGACTTTAAGGACTAAACCACCGAATCACAAACGAACAGCAGTGTACCTATAAGAATGGCTGCTGCCCAGGCCACGGACAGGCCCACACTGCAGGGTGTGGAGCAGCAGGAGCTCATTCATTGCTGAGGGGAAGGTGAGGTGGTGTGGCTACTCTGCAAGTCAGTTTGGCGGTTTCTTACAAAATAACACATGCTCCTACTACCCAATCCAGCCATCATGCTCCTTGGTGTTTACCCAGAGGAGATGGAAACTTATGTCCACACAGAAATCTGCACAAAGATACACAGGTTCTGGCGGAAGTAAAGCTGGCCTGCGTGTGTGGCCTGTGTGGTCGGTAGGGTGATAATGTGGGTGTGATCATTTATAGTGGTAATGTGAACATGTCACTCTAACGGTGGGCACATGACATTGGTCCACACTCATCGAAGGTAGAACACCACAGCGCGATTTCCAGGGAACTTTGGATGATGATGACGTGTGGATCGGCATATGCTCACTGACTGCAGCAAGTGCACCAGTGGTTCGGGGTGCTGACAGTGAGTGGGGGAGGCTGCGCTCACGGGGAACAGGGCCGGGGAGTGTTCAGAAACTCTCCGTACGTTCTGCTCAGGTTTGCTGCGAACCTAAAACTGCTCTAAAAACAACCTGATCACATTAAAAAACAAGCGATTGAAAACAAAAAGTTAATGCTCTCAGTCAATACACTGCGGCAGGGTCCCCCGCCCTGGAAGTGCTTGTAGGAGCTTGAACAAGCATTGGGATGAACCATGTCACAAAGGTTTCCTGAGTGAGGACTACAAACATCCTTTCATATCTCGGCAGATGCTAAGACTCTCCCCCGAGGAGGACATTGTCAAGAATCTTCTCCGTGTCTTGACACACCACTGGAAGAGTGCCCCCCAAAGCATGGTGGGAAACACTGAGCTGGAAAACAGAAGTAGAAGCCAGTAAAGATGTCAGGGCACCGAGTGCAAGTTTAGGATCAGCAACAGGGGGAGTCACTCCAGGCCCCCAAAAGAAATAGGACACAGGAAAAACTAAGGGATAGCACCTGTCTGATACTAACCACAAAGGTGCAGAGAAAGTTCACCGAGAGAGGAATGGGGTCATCTAAGCGAGCGGCAGCCAGACGCCAGTTCAAAGTGCGTGGGTCTCAAGCCCACCTGCTACGACCTCCTACCGTCTCAAGTCTGGGCTCTTTCTCACGTCAGTCCACATCGCCCCGTCCTCCTTTCCTTCTGCGACCCTACAACAACTTCCCCAGCTCCAGAGAGCCTTAAGTTGGGTCACAAGGGTATGCCATGGTTTATCTGTGGCTCCCTTTGAACTCCTCCCAATGTTATTTTTTTAAAAAAAAACAGGACTGCCAGGAGCCTAGGTAAGGCAATAAAAAGTTGGCAAACACAACTGCTCTTAAACAGAGAAATACAATGTGCGCATTGTCGGAACACTGGGCACCAATCATGTGGAATAATTAATAGTTTGGGCTTGGGCAGAGGTTACTAAACCTGATTGCATTCACCTCCCCGTTAGGGTTTAAGAGAAATGAAGGATGAAGTAAGCAGCTTCAGAGCAAACAAAACTGACAAGCGAGCAGCGTAGCCTAGCGGCAGCACGAGAGCCACACTCTGGAGCCATGAGCTGGAGCGACTCGCTCAGAGCTGGGAAGTCCTCTCCTCCTTCCCCTGAACCACCAAGCGCTGGTCCTGCTTTCTCCCGGGACTTGCGGTGGCAAGTGTGAAACTCTGTGCCTTTCGTTCTGTTCTGCCAGAAGGCCACTGAAATTCCCACAGCTGCCTGGAACCTAAGGGGCTTCGACAGAGTGAGCATTAAAATTCGCCTCCTGTTGGTAAGAAAGCCCGGATTCTGTTCCTAAAGCTTTAAGATGCCTTGAACAATGAGAGTAGGACCTCAAATTATCTAAGAGCAGCGAGTGGTTCCAACCATGGATCCAAAACACAACTATCTAGGCTTGTTTCTGGTGTGACCCCTCCCCCCAGAATATGTGTGTCCCAGACTTACCTACTGAACAAGAATCTCATGCTGTAGAGCAGCATGTGTGTATTGTGGAAAAGAGCATCAGGTCATTCTGAAGTACAACCCTCTTCAGGAACGATTATTACCTTAGAGCATCTCAAAGGACAGCTAGAATGTCCTTACAGAAAAGCAACCACTCCAGGTTGTCACTGCCCAGTCCCCTCCCCCCTGGCTAAGCACCTAACACCTGACAGGGAAGCAAGGCAGTGAGGCAGACAAGCAGGGCCCCAGGTGAAGAGGGCCTGTGTTCAAACACCAGGCTCACACCGACAGACACCTCCCTCACTCTGTTCTCCTGAGCCCTGCACCCAGCGTCTCTCCATCCACAGACACATGTCTGAATGATCCCCTTTTTTGACACCTAGCAACCTTCCACATTTATTCAGCAGTTAACAAGTTTCAAGGGTATCTTAGGCACACTATGGAACATGGGGACCACAATGGCAAACTAAGTAGATGGAGCCTCTCCCTCCTAGAGCTAGTGATCTGGCTGGAGAAGCAGAAACTGAACAAGTAAACAAAGAAGCAAAAGAGGATGTTAAATAGTGATCAGAACCACACTCATGAAACGGTGAGAGTAACGAAGGGAGGGGACGACCTACTCATTTCAGAAGGCGCAGTAGCAAGTGCAGCCTAAAGCCAGGCCGGAGGAGGGGGGCGTGGGAGGCCGAAATCTAACATGGCTCAAGGGTGCACCCCCAGGGTACAGGTCCTGACTAATCCCTCCCCCTTGGCCTTACCGACTTGATGTTTGTGCCACCCCCCAAATTCATGTAGAAACCCTAACCCCCAATGTGGTCATATTAGGAGAGATGGGGCCCTTGGAAGGTCATTAGATTTAGACGAAGCAGGGTCCCCGTGATGGAATTAGTCCCTGTATGTGACAAGACTGGAGCTCCGGAGTGTGCTCTCCCCCCCCTTCTCTCTCTCTCCCACTTCCCCCGCCCCTACCATGTGAGGACACAGTGGCCATGGGCTCTGTCCAGGGACTGAACTGGCTAACACCCGGAACCCCAGCCTCGAGAACAGGAAGAAATAAATACACGTGTTTAAGCCACACAGTCTGTGGTATTTTGTTAGAGCATCCTGAACGGAGTAAGGCACAGGGGATCCAAAGGGCTACAAAATTCATACGATTTAAAGTGAAAAAATAAATAATTTTTCCTAAAGAAAGTGATCTCAAATAAATCTATGTTAGATGTTTTGCACTACTGTAAAATCACTTTGACACTTAAATTTCTGCTGTACTCAGCTGAAAGGGAACCGGTGTTATAACTAAATTTTATTTTCATAAAATAATTTTAATGTGAACACTCCCTTTATTTAAAATCAGATTGTCACTGTGTGAAAAAAATTAGAAATATGTATTTAACAATGAAAGGAATGATTACATAACTTATGACACATCTACAGATCATGTAATCATTAAAAACCATATTTTGAAGAATATTTTAAAACATAGGATGTATTAAGTGAAATATATAAAGTTATAGATATAAAGCACATGTCAAAATTTGTAAGATTGTATGTATGGGTTTCTAACTTATAGAAATCCAACATTTACAGCATAGAAAAAAAGACTGAAAGAAATTATAACAAAGCAATAGTAGTGGTTATCTTGGTATTGAAATTGTAAGTAATTTTAATTTTTGCTACACATTTGTCAGCAAATTTTATTAAGTGAAAAATACTAGCTTAATTATAAATAAAGGCAAATACTTTTTGCAAAAATGACCCACTTATATAAGGCCATTGGTTTTTCTGTCCCCCCTCCCCCAGATACAGATGACATACAGAATTATATTACTTTCAGGCGTACAATATAGTGATTTTCTAACTGCCAATTTGTGCTTCTCCATCCCTTCACCTTTTTCACCCAGCCTCCCCAGCACCCCTCCCACCTGGCAACATCATTTTGTTCTCTGTATCTGTGAGTTTCTCTACTTGTTTGTTTATTTTGCTTTTTAGATTTCACGTGTAAGTGAAATAATATGGCACTTGTCTTTCTGTCTCACTTATGTCACTTAGCACAATACACTCTAGGTCCGACCATGCTGGCCCAATGGCAAGATTTCATTGTTTATGGCTGAGTGATATTCCACAGTCACCTGTACCACATCTTTATCCATGTGCCCATCGATGGACACTCAGGATGCTTCCATACCTTGGCTATCGTGAATAATGCTGCAATGAACATAGGGGCGTTTCCTTCACCTTACCTGACCCTTCTCTTTCTTGTGCTCTTGATGAAGAGCTTGAACTCGAGCCGACCACTTGCTCTCCTGGGAAACAGCAAAACAAGAGTCGTTTACTTTCAGTGAAATATGGGGGGCCATTGAGAAACTGTAGACAGGACAGTGACACAGGGGGCCAGCCTGGCTGTAAGGCGAAAGACAGATTTGGGGGGCGGAGGTGGGGTAGGAGGGGCAACAGAAGCAGCAGTGGCAGGTGTCTGTATTTCAGTGACTCACCTGCTTTTTAAAATGACATATTACCGCTTTTTAAAGAAAATCCCAAACTCATAACTTTAATCTCTATTTGTTTCCTGATGTAAAACAACGCTCCCCAAGATGAACATGACCAGAGAGCCAGTGTGAAGACTGTGCTGATAACAGATACTCACTTCCAAATGACTGTAATTATGTTGGATAAACGTAAGAGATCAAGGACATGCACTAAAGGGGGGAGTGTGGGTGGGAGGGGTGTGCAGGGCAGAGGTGAGCGAAGGGGGAAAATGGGACAACTGTAATAGCATAATCAATAAAACATATTTTAAAAAAAAGATCATCAGTTCACCAATGTAGTTGTATATTTAAGCTCGAAATAAAGTTAGTGCTTCAACACACCTTCCCGGGCCTCCCGAAACTGAGACGTACATCTGAAGTATAAAAAAATAAACACTGAGGCAATGCTAACCAATTCAAGCAGATATTATCTTATGGAAACACGAGGCAATTTTGCCAAGTGCTCTGCAGCCGCATCCATTAGTCGATCGACAAGGAACCAGTGAACACCTGTTATGAACTACGCATGTACTGGGAGACAGAAAAAAGCATTGGCCGCCCCCTGGTCACTGAGAGAAAAAGACGCTGTAAGTCACCACGTAAAGAAAAATTGGGCCTCCAGCACCGTCACCGCCCACGGTCACGTACCTGACTGTCGAGAAACTGCATCACGTTCTGGAAATCCTGGGGGTACTGAGGACGCTCTTCTTTGAACTCATGCGCATCTTTCAGCGTGCCTAGGTTGGACTTGATCTGCAGGTTGGACTTCTGGATTTCTGACAGTTGCTACAGAATGAAACACAAAAATCAGCGGCACAAATGCTTATGCTTTGGTAAGATTTAAACAGAGAATAAAATCGGGGAGCGTGTCTCCACGTTTTATATCTGACTATCCTCCTGGATGCTCATCCCACTTCTCTTCCCTCTCCTTTCCAGGGGTTTTCTTTTTTTGTTTCTTTCCAACAAAGGAACATGCACAGGTTAAGAAATGGAAAGGAAACCTGACTTTCTAATCTTGAACAATGGGTCTTAACATTTTCGATGGGCACAGAACAGTTGCCAGAAACGGAGGAACTGGGTGCCGCCGGCTCTCGGGACAATTCAGCCAAGAGGCCAGCCTCGCCCAGGACCACATCCGGGAGTCCGCCAGGGGCAGAGCATTTCAGTGTTACCCGGGGCTTGTGTGTCAGTCCCAAAGGCACAGGCAGCAAGCCCAGAAGGCGCTGCTGCACCTTAGCCTCAGAAACAAAGGGGTGGCCGAGCACGATTCCCTGCTCTTTACGTCTGGGCTGCACAGAGCGGCTTCTTTTCAGGAGGACAATACAGAACAGGGGGAGGGTACTGCTCAGTGGAGAAACCTGACAAACACACCCCCAGCCAGGTGGTGAAGGACGACACCCACAATCGTAAACCAGGTAAATGGCGTTCCCCCTAGACATCCTGTGATGACCATTTCACTTGAACTCTGAGGTCTTCTTCCCCCAAACCCGCAGGCCCGGTCTGACTGTGAGAAGAACACGGAATCAGTTCCAACAGAGGGGGCATCCTACCATGTACCTCATCCGGGTCATCAAAAGCAAATCTGTCACAGGGAGGAGGAGCCTAAGGGGACATGACAACTAAATGTGATGTGATGTCCTAGATAAGACTCTGCCGGACCAGAAAAAGGACAGGAGGTAAATGCCAAAGAAATTGTAAGGAAGTATGGACTTTTAATTAACACAAATGTATCAATACTGCTTCATTAATTGTAACAAATCCAGCAATTAAAAAAAAGTCTATTTAAAAAAAATAGACTACTCTAAAAAAAGCCTATTTTTAATGATAATTTTACAATCTGCTGATAGCCTAAAGGGCAAATGACACAAATTCCATCAACTGAGGAATGTACAAATAGATATGGTACACCCATACAATGTGTATCATTCAGCAATAAAAATAAGGATAAAATACTGATAAATACCACAGCATGGATAGTCTCGGAAACATGATACTAAGTGAAAGATGTCACCCACGAAAGATCACAGGCTGTGTGACTCAATGGCCAGCACAGACTGATCCACAGAGACAAGAAGCAGCTCCGTGGTCGCCGGTGGCCGGGGCGAAGCAGGGGCGTGGGCTGAGTGCTGAGGGGTACAAGCGTTCTCCTGAGGAAACGAAATGTTCTAAAGTGACCGTGAGGATGGTTGCCGAAGCCTGTGAACACACTGAAAACCACGGAACAATGGGTCTTCACATTTGTACACTTTAAGTGGGTGAACTGTATGGTGTGTGAGCTATTTCCCAATAAAGGTTTCTTTTTTTTAAGTTAGGAATGGTAAGACTGTGGAAAGAAGTCCTGTTCCACGGTTATCCTAGGGGTAGGGGCAGGACCATGGAGAGAATCTCGGGAGAAAGAACGGTAATTGGCAGATCATCACGAGAGAAAAAAATAAGTGTGACCTTCGTGGAGCAGACGTGGGAAGTCCGTCTTAAACTGTGAGCACCCGGGTCCTGTGGGCCACACGGCACCCACTTTGTGAAGGAGCCACGGGTGGGTTCAGGAGAGGACCCCGGGGTACGGGCGGTAGAGGGCACTCTGGGCAGAGAAACCACCACCACCTAGGGCTTCTGATGCTAAGGAAGAAGAACAGCGACCAGGGAAAGGTAAGATGGGAAAACTGAACCCGCCGCAGGAAGGCGCCTGAAGGAATCTCTACAGAAAAGACACAATGAGCCAACCACTGTTACTGCCCTTTTTCCCCCCAGCAAATTACAACATACAGGAAAGATGGAACATCCATTTCACCTTCACCAGTTGTTAACCCTGTGCCCATACAGATATGATGAGGGCTGTCAAACTTTTCCTCTGAAGAGCCAGATAGCAAACATTTTTGGTCTGGGGACACGGATAGGGTCTTGGTCACAACCCCTCGACTCTCTGGGTCCAGCACAAAAGCACCACGGACAAAGTGTAAAGCAGAGAGCATGGCTGTGTTCCCCAAAACTTGACTTGTGCACACTGAAATGTGAACTTCCTATCATTTTCCTGTGTCGTGAAAGTCTTCTTTGGACTTTTTTCAACCATTGAACAGTGGAAAAACCTTTGCTAGCTCACGCACCACACAAAAACCAGGGGCGTGCTGGATTCGGTTCCCAGGTCATGGTTTGCTCACCCTTATGGGAGTGTTCGAGGCATTTCAGAGAAGGATCTTAGCAGCATCCCCCAAATATCCCTCTATTTTAGTTCATAAAACCTGCCGGCCCCTAGAGGGAGCTCAAGGATCGTCCCTTGCCTCCCGCATTTCTATTGACTAAGGGTGGGTTAGCACTGAGCTGTCCAGGAGGCTCAGGTAATTCTTAGCTAAATGATAGTGGCCACTGACTGAAGAAGGCACTTGCAGAAGATGAAGGTCCCAGCCCAGCGAGGTGTATCCCTGTCATCCACGCATGTAACCAGGGCTGTGTGCAGCAAGGATGCTCCCACGGGAAACGGGGCCCATTTGGCCAAATCCTGCCTGCTCCAGACCCGCCTTCCTTAGCAGTTAGCCTGGCAGAGGTTCTCGCTCCGTCTTTCTGGGTCAGCTTCCTTTCCCTCCCACATGGGTGATCTGTGTCAGCCTTTCCTAGAAATTCCCTAAACTCAGGGAATAGTGTATGGTTTAAGATTTTCTAACCCTAACCAGCTAATGAGAGAGGGACCCTCTTCTACCAACCGACCAAACGTACCAAGCGTTCTGCACTAGGGCTTGGGGACAAAGCTCCCACTCTCAAAGAAGCAGCTTTTCTGATTTGCTGCATGCCTTCTGCATGCTTCCAGCGACCTCAGGACACATGGGGAGGGGCCAGGGCACCATAAAGGGACTTCTGCATTGAGTGGCCATCATGCCATTCTAATGCCACCTCTCAAGGCAGCAGCTCCGCCAGCACAATAAGGACTCCTCCGTTTAATACTTACATATTCCAATGCTAAATTCTTGGAGGTCAATTCTTGAAACTCCTTCTTAAACATTTCCTTGAATTTCTCCATTTCGTCAACCAACTTCTCCCTTTCTTCCTCTTTCCACCTATGAAATAACTTCAGAAGTTCTTCCTCTTTTGTTTTCTGCAATTCATACTCCTGAAATCATTTTAAAACATGGCTTCAACAGTTCTGATATGAAGCAAATAGGTCAAATGTTACATCAGTGGGTATAGCTTCGCCTCAAATGTATCAGCTGGCACTGCACGGCCCAGTAAGGCTCACCATAACACCTCATATAATGGCAGCTCTGTGCACAACGATTTTTATGAACCAAAGGCAACACGTATCCTAAATCTTTAAAGTACAAATGCAGAGGCTCAATGCGTCCAGAGTTCTGTGATCTGTGAACTTGTCGAATAGACATGTAATAATACGGAAACTGTAAATACACTTTAATAGGAGGAGTCTGTTGAGCCTTTTTTGATCACGTATCAATGTTGGCATCCACTGACTACGCGATCTGGTTAAATGCACACTGGTGGTTCAGCAAGAGAGACCACGTGTTAGGCCACAAAGTGATTCTCGATGAACTTTAAAAGGCTGAAATCATGCAAAGCCTATTCTTCAGCCACAGTGGAGTAAAGCCAGAGATCACTAACAGAAGTAAAAGTGGAAAATGAAAATACACAGTGACTGAAGAACACATTCTTAAACTAACAGGTCAAAGGAAAACTCACTATGGGTCATTAGAAAATACCTGGAGATGAATGAAAATTAAAATACAACACACCAAAAAAGGAAAGCAGCCAATCAGGGCCCAGAGGGAAATTTAGAGCTAAAAATGCCTATGTTAACAAAGAAAGATCGAGAGAGACAAACGGGGTCCTTCTAAAATAGTAAAGGGTTCAATTCATCACAAAGATACAAGAATTATAAATACTTACACAGCCGAGATTGGAGCGCCTAAATATATAAAGCAATTTATTTTATTAACAGGACAAAAAGGAGAAATAAAGAGCAATACAATAACAGGGGACTTTAATACCCTACTCTTGATACTGGACAGATCATCCAGACAAAAAAAATCAATGAAGAAAAACAGGATCTGGCCCTGGCTGGTGTGGCTCAGTGGATTGAGCGCAGGCCTATGAACCAAGGGGTCCTGGTTTGATTCCCGGTCAGGGCACATGCCTGGGTTGCAGGCTGGGTCCCTAGTGGGGGATGTGAGAGAGGCAGCCACACATTGGTGTTTCTCTCCCTTTCTCCCTCCCTTCCCCATCCTCTAAAAATAGATAAATAAAATCTTTAAAAAAAAAACAGGATTTCAACAACACTATAGATCGGTAATTTTCAACCTTTTTCATCTCTGGCACATATAAATGAAGGATGAAATTTCTGTGGCACACCAAAAAAATGTATTTTTTGCCAATCTGATCAAATAATAGGTATAATTATGATTCATTCACACTGGATGGCTACTGTAGTGTTGGCTGTTGTCATTTTTTTAAATTTGACAATCTAAGGGACAAGAGGCCAGTGCCCCTGGTCACACAGTCAGTCAGGTGCTGCATGTTTTCGAAACTCCTGAGGCACACCTGTGGGAAGTCACTGCTGCAGGTCAAACGAACCTACAGACGTGCACAGGACGTCCTCCCAACAGCAGGGGACACACGGGACATTCCCCGGGACAGACCACATGTTAGGTCACCAGACACGACTTTGTCTTAACGTCCAGCATCTTTGCCGACCACAATAATATGAAACTAGAAACAACAAGTGCCCAGGAGGACGACTGGAAAATTCACAAATACGTGAAAATTAAACAACACAATCCTGGACAACCAATGGGTCAGAGAAGAAACTGAAATGAAAATAAAAAATATCTTGAGACAAACAAAAACGGAAATACATGTACTAACGTACGGGACGCAGCAAAAGCAGTTCTAAGAAAGTGTAACAGCTACAAACACCTCCATTAAGAAAGAAATTGCAGAGACAACCTAACATCACACCCGAAATAGCTGCAAGGACGAACTAAGCCCAAAGTTAGCAGAGGGATGGAAATAATAAAGATTAGGGCAGAAATCAATAAAATACAGCATGGGAAAATAACAGAGAAGATCAACAAACCTCAGAGTTGATTTTTTTGAAAAGATAAACAGAATTGAGAAACCTTTAACTAGACTGACCAAGAAAGAGAGAAAAATTCAAATAAAATGATGAATGAAAAAGGAGACATTACAACTGATACCACAGAGTTACAAAGGACCGTAACAGACTACCAGGAACAATTACCACATTTTTGGACTATACGACACATACCCCCAAATTTGGGAGGAAAGAGGGGGGTGCGTCTTATAGTCTGAATGTAGCCTACATGGCTAGTAAATGTAGTTTATGTTTACACTGGTGAAATAGTATGTTATTTATGTCATTAAATACTTTACCACATTTTTTGCTTCAGAAAATTTTTTTCCTATTTTTCTCCTCTAAAATCTAGGTGTGTCTTACAGTCCGGTGCGTCTTATAGTCCTAAAAACATGGTATATGCCAACATATTCGACACTCTAAAAGAAATGAATCAAGTCCTAGAAACATACCTACCAAGACTGAATCACAAAGAAATAGGAAATCTGAAGAGACCAGTTAAGGAAGGAGTAAGGAAATGGAACCGGTGATCAACAACCTCCCATCAGAGAGAAGCCCAGGGCCAGATGGCTTCACTGGCGAATCCTACCGAACGTTTAAAAGAAAGGAACGCCATCCTCCCCAGCATCGGCTGTTCCGCGAGTGGGTGTCTTACCTCTGCGACTCTGAGCGCGTGGGCGTGCTGGGACGCCTCCAACTGAGACTTGGTGAGCTGCAGCTGCTCCTTCAACAGGTCGACCTCCTTCTGCAGCGTATCGGTCTGCTCCTTTCTCTTATACTCTGGGGCAACAGAAACACTGAGTTAAACTATGGAACCTGTGCTTACGAAACCTACCTGAAAACTCACGGGGCCGAGTGCTATTGGTAAGACAGAGGACACTGCTCTTACTTGGGGCGTTACAGTTTTTTATGCCACACGAGCCAAGTTTTGCTCCGTAGCGTTGATTCGTGGCCTGTTGTATTACTGGGCATTGAATGATTTTCAGCAGATTCTTTCAGCTACTGTTTTGAGGTCGGACTATTCCACAGAGGTGGTGTGGGAGCCCATTCGGGGAGCAACACCGGTGACAAGGTGACAAGGAGTTAATCCTGGGCCCTTCATCAAGATAGGGAAGCACTGGCTTCTGCTTCAGACGCCACCGCCTTGAAATCTCTGTGGTCACCACCCCTGCGCTCTCACCGAGCCCCCCTGAGGACCCCGTCCGTGCTAAGGCAGGCAGAGGCCGGCCCTGGGAATGCCAGCTCGGGCGGAGACCTGCCGACAAGGCGAAAACGCGGTGCGGAAAAGCTGTAAGAGGAAGCAACCAGCGAAGGGAGGAATAGTTATGTACATGTACTTACATGCAGATGCACACATGACTGAATGGATATACATGTGTCTGTGAGTGTAGACATGAAAGGTATGGAAACCAAAGTAGAAAGGTCAGAATCTCAGAGATGATCTGAAGAAATAATACTCATTTCAGAGCGTGAAGGGCTCTCTGAAACGAGTATGGATAGAATAGGGTACTGAAACAGAAGAGAGAGAAAGTCAGTTTCACACTGAAGAATGGTAGAATTATTAAAATAGTTCATCTTCCCAGTTTCTCCAATATATCACTAAACCGTATCGGTAGTCCATGGCTTATAAATGGAATTTCATGCTGTTCACATGGTTTACACAAAGCTCAGCTGTTTCCTAAATAAATCTATTTACCTGAAATAGGCAGAAATGGAAACAGATTGGCCCAAAAGGGAGGGGAAAGCAGGCACCGAGGAGCAAGCTAGAGGTACGCAAGTCCAGACACTACAACTACGCAAGATCGTAAGGAGACTTTCTGGGGAGTAGGGCAGCGACCTGCGCGATGCTCTGATATTCTCATGGAGAGGCAGACCTCGCGTTCCTTACTTCTGAGAACACTGAAGTCCCAGGAAACCTGCTTCCTCCATAAGCCACACCCTTCCCCTCTCCTGCTTCTTTAGCTTCTCCCTCCACACACTGGTTAATTCCCATCAGCACCCAAACCCATCCGAGAATCTGCCACAGCAAACAAGACAGACATGGCCCCTCCACCCCCCCGTTCCCCTCCAGGTCATGCCTCATGTCTCTGCTCTCCTTCCAAGAAAACGAAGTAAAAGTCTGTTATGGACATGAGCACTTGCTCGCCGGATTCTCGGCTCAGCTCACTCCAGCCAGGCTTCTGTCCCCACCAGTCCACCGAAGCTGCTACGTCTAGGCCACCAAGAGCCAATCCTCATCCTTCGTCTTAGTCTGTGTCTCAGGAACATTCGACAGCACTGACCACTGTTTCCTTTCTGAAACCCTGATGTCCCTCGGTGGCCATGACAACACACTCCACAGGTTCCCCTCCTGCCTCCGGGCTGTTCCTAACCCAGCTGCCCCTCCAGAGCTCCGAGTGTTGGGAGAGCCTTGAGGCGGGCCCTTAGCTATCTTCTCCGTCTAGTTGACCTCACCTAGCCACTCCACTAACAACTGCCAGGTGTGTTTCTCTAGCCTGGGCCTCCACCTTGACCTCCAGACCTCCAGCCTCTCCATGAGTGTGGCAGTGGTATGTGTGACTGAAGTTCACCCGTGGACAACACAAACTCTCCATTCTCCTTCCTCCCTCAAGCTGCTCCGTGCCCCTAGGTTTCCCGCCACTGCTGTTCACCCAGCCGTATATAGTCAAAAACCTAGGACCGTCCTGGCTTCATCCTTTCCTCTCACGCTGAGTCACATCCCTGTGGCTCTGTGTCTGGAACACACTCTTCATCTTCACTTCTCCCATCCTCCCCAGTACCCTCCTGCTCCAGCTGCCATCTTCTCTCACCTGGGCTACTCTTGCGGGCTCCTCACTCTTCCACCTGCTCCCACCATTGCCCCCACAGTCTATTCTCCACCAACAGGTGGAGGGCTCATTCTGAGGTACAAATCGGATGGTGCCCCCTACCTCGGAACCTCCGGGGGCTTCCCATGACACTTACAAGAACTCCCACATTCCTGCCCAGGGTGCGCAAGGCCCCATGGGACCTGGCTCCCTCCTCTCTGGCATCACCAGGCATCGCTGCCTTGCTCACTCCGCTCTGCCGACCTTCTGTCTGGTTCTCAAACACACCGTCCTGTCTGCCTCACCCTCACAGCCTGCACACCCCTCGCCCGGGATACTCATTTCTCCGATTTTCCCCAGACTGGGCCCTCCTTATCATTCTCATATCCCTTACTCAGAGAAGTCTTTGCTGATGGCCCAAAGTCACTGTCCACCCCCCCACCCCCAACTCTCCTGATATATCTGCCCCACTTTAAAAGAATCATTCATTTAACTGTACTTCCTCAGCCCCTCCTATGCCAATGTAAGACCCATTAGAATGCAGGACTCAGTCCCCTTCCCCTGGGGCTGTATCCCCAGCGCCTGGTGCAGTGCCCGGCACATAGTAGGGGCTCCATATTTACTTCCTAAATGGACAAGGACAGCGAGACTTTCTTTTAGAAGGATTGAGAAGTGCATGGGACCATGTCTCCCTTGGAAAAAGAGACAAAGTTACCGGGAAGAACGCGACTCACCAAGGTGAGCGTCCTCGGGGTGGCGGCGCTGCAGGTGGCTGTGCAGGAAGGCTTGGTTCATGAAGGCCTTGTCGCAGAAACGGCACTGCAAAGAGGGGAGCAGCCAGTCAGCGCGCCTGCCGCGAGCGTCCCTCCACCTCCTTCCACTTGAAAATCCCGCACCCGAAGCACTGTGTCCTGCAGGCTTTCCCCTCAACGACACCATCCAGGCAAGGGATTCAGAAAGCGTGGCTGAGAAGACGCAGAAAACTCGGGCGTTCTTCCCACACTGGGCGGAAGGCAGTGGAAACTATGACTCGGGAGCTCAAGGGGCCCATCCGGGTGCTTTCTGGAGCCCTCGGTGCTGTTCCCAGGAGCCTGGCGGCGCCCAGCCTCCCACCAACTTGTCAGGACACCCCGGCAATGCTGGTCTTCCTCCTGTCTCTCTAGACGGCCCCCTGCCTGAGCCTCCCCCGGCCCTTCCCGGGACTGACTCCTGTTGGCATTCAGGATGTCGGGTTTATGAAGCATTTTCCACACTGGGGAGTGATGGTGGCCTGTCCTCAACCAGCTCTTCGAGGACCACCCGTCTGCCAGTCACTGTCCCAGCCAATTGTGTAATTTTCATCACTGTGCCCTCACCAGTCAGCAATTACGTCGTCACATTTACTCACGTCACCTGCTTGTGGTGTCCTGCCTGACCCCTTGGGTTCCTGAGGGCACTAACTCTTGCCTGTCTTATTCACAGCTTTGTCCCCAGAGCCGGGCATTAATAAATCGTTAAGCAGATGCTTAGAAATATCTGGCCTCCTTAAATAAATTTACTGGGGAAAAAAAAACCATCAACTCCACCAAATCTCTCTTTTTCACTTAAACACTGATTCCAAATGTAAACAAAAACTCAACTTGTTTCATCTATATCCTCATGCCTGGATTATTCTGACGTAAATCTCGGATATATTTCATTTGTCAATATTTCAGAATTTATCGCTAAAAGGACTTTAACATAATTGTAATATTGTTATTCTACCTTCTAACATGTGAACATTAATTCCTTAGTAGCAACAAATATCAAACCATTTGGTTTCTTCCCCCACCCCTATATTTCACACATTGTCTTAGGAAAAAAAATTATACTTTGTTTTGGGTCAGGATCTAAATAAAGCCAAATTTTGCAATTGATTGTTATGTTCCTTAATTCTCGTTCAGTCTATAGCTTGCCCCTCCACCTCTCTTTTTCCCTCCCAGTCCTTTGGCTGAAGAAACTGTACACGTCCTGCAGAATTTCTCTCTGTTTGGGTTCTTCTGTCTCATCTTCATTGTGCTATTGACACATCCTTCTGTTCATGCCCTGCCTTATTCCTAGTGTAACTTCATCAGAACTACAGGTTCTGGTGTCCCAGAAAACTAACGTTATGGTCTATTTCTTGACACTGCATTTCCGAGAAACTTTAAGGAATCTCTGTGGCGTTCTCTGCACGTGGGGCCTGTCTGACTGCCTCCCAACACTTCAGAGGCTGCCCACGCCCACTCAGACGCCAGTGTGAGCTCGAGGGCTAAGCCCAGCCCCCGGGGAAAGGAAATGATGAGAAACCCTAAATGTAACTTTTAATTTCTAAAAAAATTAAAAAAAACAACTTTTAACTAATTGCATAATACAGGAGATTCATGAGCTCAGGGTAAGAAGGGGTTCCTATTCCAAAAACTAAAGACTGACATTTTGACTACATCAAAACGGAAAAACTTCTGCATGACAAAAAAACCCACCAGAACAAATCTAAGAGATTTACAGTTTCTGGATTGGCATGTAGGGAGCGTGAAAATCGCCACTGCATCCTAACAACAAGTCAGAAGCTCAACAGACTGGAGAGTCAACTCTCCTTGGATCTGTAACAGAGGGGAGGACATCAGGCACACCACTGCCCCAAGCTTGGGGAGACTGGGAGTCACCACGTAGCACTGCAGAGACCCACCAGCAAACCTCCCCCAACAGGCACCAGTACAGGGTAGCAAGACCTAATTTGTCACTGACAAATGGATGGAGCTCAGAGTGGATGGTCTGGGAGTTAAAAACTCCAGTGGAGAGGAGAGCTTTCAACTTCATAAAGGCTATTGACAAAACCCAACATGTCCAGTGCACCTACTGGGAGCTAAGTCCTCTCACACGGTTCTCTTTTTAAATTTCCACAGCCACCGCTTTAGCAAGAAATCGAAGCTCAGGAAAATTAAGTTACAGCATTATCATTGCATATTTTAGCCTACATTTCTTTGACTGCAAAATGCACGCCTTCTCTACTGCTCAATGCTCGCCTCCCACTCCAAGGGGCCGACCCATTGGAAACAGTAACAGAAAGTACCTGACAGATTCCCAAATCTGCCTGTGTTGCTGGAGCATGGAGAGGAATCTGAGTCCTCCAGCTACGAAAACGAAAGGTCTTCTTAGAATGAGTCTCAGTGCTGTGCGCCGACTATTCTTAGCAACAGTCTTTACCCCTCTCCCTGAATCACTGATTCCTGCAGCACTAGCAATGTGACCTCAGGCCTTCTTTTCTATACCCCTGCTATATGATGAGCTCCGGAGAAAGGTCTAAGGATTTGCAAAGAGATACAGGTAGTCCCGGCTCACTACTGGGAAGCCGATGCAGAAATCAACATCCACACGTCAGATGCTATTGACTGAACCTTCCTCGTGCTTTACACGTAACATCTGACGGATTCTTGGAACAACTTGAAAAGGTAGCTACTAGTAATATTCTCATCTTCCTGATGAGGAGACCGAGGTTTAGAAGTTAAATGACTTGCAGAGTGGGACAGCCAGGATTCAAAAACAGGCAGTTTACTCTGAAATCATCACCCAAAGTGCCCACGCTGCTCAGAGACTCCATAAAGAGACAATGTCACACCACGTAACAGAGGGCAGAGTGCCACAAGGTGTTGGAGAAGGTGGTCTGGTCCTTCCTACCTGTTCCCCGTCACACCTGCGCACCCCACTGTTACTCCGAGTCTGCTGAGTGGTCTGGAGGAGGCAGCTGCCACTCATTTCAGAAAACTGAATCATTACCTTGTTATCCTTGTGCAATTCAGGGGTGTCAAACTCATTTTCACTGGGGGCCACATCGGCCTCATGGTTGCCTTCAAAGGACAGGATGTAACTTTGGGACTGTGTAAATGGAACCGCTCCTTAACAGGGGCAAGGACCTCAGCGTTGCCATCGGGTAGAAACAGGTGCAGGGCAAATAAAACAAGGTGGAGGGCTGGTGGGCCTTGTGTTTGCCCCCTGTGTTCTACACGATTCACACTGGAAAATCCTGACTTACCAACTGCCATTTCTATGATAACCAAAAAATGAAAAAGTGTTTATAAGTTAAATTTTAAATTCGTATATGTTATAGGTTTTAACCGTTCCCTGGATTACTTTTTAAAATGTTTACATATACTCATTGTATTCGTTTATGAAGAGCCATTTCAGCACTATTTATACATATTTAGACTTTAAATAGCACTTCTAAAACAAATAGGCATTTAGCAACATCAAGTATGTTGACAGTTACACTTCAGGGTTGTGTACCCAAAGCTAAACCTGAAGCCTTTCCCAACGGCTCACTTCTTTTCAGACCCTTCTTTCAGCACAACTGTTAGGTGGGTCCTGAGCGCTGTTAACCCCACCGTTTTCTGCGCCACATGCCCAGTTCTCTGTATTCCCTGTGACCTGCATCCACTGAGACCTGTTAAGCCAGGGGTGTCCAACCTTTTGGCATCTCTGGGCCACAATGAAACAAGAAGAGTTGACTTGGGCCACACATTAAATACACAAACACTAATGAAAACTGATGAGCAAAAAAAAAAAAGGTCCATACATAATTTTCATGAGATCCTCCACCACAGATAAGCAAGAAAAAAAAAGCCTCACATAATAACCCTAATTATGCAGCGGCTCTTTCGACAATCTTTTAAAATCGTCCAGTAGATCCCAAGTTTGTGATCACTAATATGGAAAATGTACTTGTATAAGTAGTAAAACTTAGTATACAACTAAGTAACGTTTTAAGTAAATTTGTGATCTTGTGTTGGGCGGCATTCGTAGCCATCCTGGGCCACATACAGCCCGGCGGGTTGGACACCCTGTTTTAAGCCATATGTAGTGAAAGGACTAGAATGTGAGGGTGTGAAGTCAACCCTGCCAGTCTGTGCTTCCCTCAACATCCTTATCAAACACTGTCAAAATTTTCTGTGCTTCCTCTGCTTAACTGGTTAGAAAAGCTATACACAATGATTTCTGTTACATGAAAAAGTGACAATATTTATCTTGGGCTCAATTCCAACTCATAATAGTTAGAGATTAACAACAGAAAAGCAACACTTTTTTTCAATTTTTAAAATACTGTTGTTACATGAGTGATTTTTTTCTTAGGAAATACACACACTGAAATATTCGGGAATCTGCAAATGACTGTCAACTGGCTCTATAATATGTCCCAAAGGAAATAAAACAAATACGGGAAATGTTAATAACTGGTGACTTTGGTTGAAGGGTCTATGGAAGTTTTTTGCACTATTCTTGCCACTTTTCTGTAAATTTGTAAAGATTCTGAAATCTAAGAAACGAGAAAAACTGTAATCATTTCCGATCGCCTGGGGGCCCACCTGCATAGCAGCTTGTACATGGTTTCGTTTTCATTACAGGATGAGAAGGAAACATGTTCTCTAACCACCAGTACTTACAGGACTTAAATAAAGCACTGCAGAGACCGTTAATAGTTTAATCATTAATCCCAGGGCAGTCTACAGAAGGGAGCGAACCATGTCATCTGTGGGTTCAAGTTACTGTTTTGGTTAATTTAAGCATGCTGTTTCTTCTTATGACTGTGCAAATGTTAAAAACGAAACAATGACATAGAGCGCTCTCAGTATCCCAGTGGGAACTGAGGTCAGTTGGGGGTTATGAACTGCCATCGCCACGCAGCCACCCACCTGGTAATAGCTGGCTTTGGCCTCCATCATCATCTGCTGGGTGGAGATCATCTTCTTCCTGCGCTTACACTCTTCCTTGAGGAACTTGATCTCCCCAGCCTGCTTGGTGAGCAGCTCTTTGCTCTGCTCGCAGTTGGCCAGGCTCAGGCGCAGCCGCTCCTCCACGTTGTGCAGCTGCGAGGTGAGGAACTCCTGCGAGTGCATCAGGTACTCGATGGAGAGCTGCGCCAGGCGGATGAGCTTCAGCAGCACCGGGTCCACCCCCGACTGGCAGTGCGGGCACTTCTCGTCCTCCAGCTTGCAGAAGGTGATGTTCATGATGTTCTCCTGCAGCGTGAGCACGTCCACGGCGCCCGCGACCTTGTCCACGTCGATGGCGCTCAGCCGCCGCCAGTCCACACTCTCCAGCCGCGGCCGGAACTGGAAGAACGGCAGGGGGCCCGCAGCCGCGCCGGGCGGGAAGCAGGCCATGGCGGCCGCCCCAGCCGCGGCCCCCGCGGGGGCGTCGGGGCCCTCGAGACCGTTGGCCAGGGGGTAGTAGACCTGCTTGTGGAAGGGCTGCGGGAAGGAGACAAGGCGGGGGTGGAGCGGGAGCTGGGAGTCCCGTGCCCCCTCTCGCCGCCCCTAACGTGACATCGGCAGGCGGGTATCCCAGGTCTCGGCGTCTCTTACCATGCTCGGAAGCAAACCGGCCACCTCTGCCGGCATCGGAGGGCGCACGTCTCCTCTGCGGGGCCCGGGCTGCCTCCCGAACCGCTGCCGCCCCACCCCAGGCGAAGGCAAGGTCCCAGGAGGCGGCGGCAGCCGCAGCGGCCTCCACTCTGGGCGTTCAAGCCGTTGCTATGGCAGCGTCCCCAGACGCCCGGTCTGCGAGCCACGGGCCTGTGGCAACCGGGAGCAACAGGCTCGCCGGCCCCCCCGCGTGGTCAGCGTGCACCCAGGACCCTGTGGAACCAGAGGAGACCTCTTGGACGAGCCTGAGTAGACACCCCCCCACCCCCCCAGAGAGGTTAGAGAGGTTACCTCCTGAGTGCCTGCCTCTAGGGGCACCACCCTCCCTGGCTTTTGGGCAGGGCGAACCAGGTCCCTAAAGTGCTGGGATCCACATCCCTGGGACCTTTCAGTCCTAGATGCCATCCTCTGGGTATTCACTACTATGCTCGCTTTAGGTTTTGAGATCACAAATAACTATTCATTCTCCCTCTCTCTTTTTTATTAACATATAATTCAAAAAACATTAAGCTATGAAACTATGTAAAATTACATGGGATGGAGGTTGACTGGCTGCCAAAAGGCACAAAGACACAAAATATATTCTATATATTTTGATTGTTTTGTCGATTCCCTGAGTATTACATTTGACAAAATTTATCAAATAGCACGCTGAAAATTAAAGGTGTGTTTTGTATATGATATCTCAATACAGTTTTCAAAATTAAATTCATAATGTAGTTAATTCTATTGGACGGCAGGCTTTCTAAATTTCTTAGATGAAAAGTACTTTTTTAAATGGACTCTTTCTTCCTCTGTGGGTTGGCCACCCGAGTTAATTGTGTACTTCTGAGAAGTACTAATAGCAAAACACTTCCACAAATATTAAGTACTTTGTCCTTCCAAAAAGATGTATTTTCAAAATGTGAATGTAAAAAACAAAAATTACATGGAGGGGAATTTAACTATCAGCTTTATCATCAAGTTTTACAGGGCCCTGGTATCTACCTTACAAACTTGTGTGGCCGCTGCATTCTGGGGTTTTTTGTTTTTTGGAGAGGCCAACAAATTTCTAGCAGCAACTTATAGACCTCAGGCCTCTCATTCTTGGGGTCTTCTGAGGGTGGCCGGTGGCTCCCACAGAGATCAATGAGGTGAGGAAAAGCCAGACATTCCTCAATCCACCGGGGAGCCCCAGCTTGGACCAACCATCAGGAAAACTTTTGTCTTTCCTAACAGCCAAAGAACAGAAGAAAGAAAAATACAGTTCAGAATAACCATCAGCAAAGCTGTAACATCAAATATTTTTTTTTACCACTTTCCAGGTACTAACTAGATATAAGCTATCGTAAAAGCACCCAGAAAACCAGCATGCACTGTATGTGATTTCATAGGAACCATTCACCCAAATAACGTTTAATGGAACTTGGAGGGGGGGGGGCAAAGGGCTGTTATGGATTCACTGCAGTGGGCATAAAAGTCTTAAAGATCTAGATTTAAAATTTGAGTCTTCCATGCACTTGCTGCCTGACCTCTTAGAACTACTTGTTCCAGCCTTAGGCCTTCGCCGGAAAGGCGTCAGTATACCGACCTGGCGGTTCTGTGAACTGTGGGCTCCATCCACTGGGCTGCAGGATCAGCGGGAACAAGGGGCCGGCTCTCTCTTGCTCACCGTTATATCCGCAGCACCTAGCATGGGACAGGCAGGCAGAGGCCTTAATAATTTGCTGATGGACACGTTGAGAAAGATGACCAAATGAATTAGGCGTTTAAAGTAAATGTCAGCTCCCATCCTGTATCCCTCATTTTCTGTGCCTCTGGCCTGTTAGGGAGATTCGCCCGTGCCCTGGGACCAAGGCCTTGGAGCTGAACCTGGGAGGACTGTCCGCACTGCAGTCCGCGGAAGAGGCACGCGGGCTGGAGACACCCAGCTCTATTCACTGCCACCGCTCTGGCCCCGTGCGCCGCGGGGCTGGCTACTGTCGCCCCACGATCGAATCTCGTTCGCAAGATGGCCGGAACAGTAAAGAAGGGGGCACGCCTTCCCGTTCCCTCTGTCCCCATCCCCAGGCAGGGGCGCCAGCGGGGCGCACCGCGGGGCCGGCTCCCGAACCCGCAAAGACAAAGGCTGGAGGACGCGGGCGCCGGAGGCGCCGCCTCTTTGAAGGCAAATGGGAGAGGGGCTGCGGCAGCCACGCCAGCGGGGTCTGCAGAGCCTCCGCTCACAGACAGGGGAAGCGGGAGGAGGGCCCGGCTCGCGGGCGCCAAGATGCCCACGGGCGCCTGGCGCATCCCAGGCCTTGGCTCACCCCAGTTGCGCGCTCCTGGGCGGACGCCGGGCGCAGCAAGCAGATGGGGGCGTCGCTGGGGACCCCAGACCCCAGGCGCACTGCTAGTGCAGGCAGGCCGGTGGAGGCCGGGAGCAGCCAAGCGGGAAGACGCGAGCTCCTTCCAAGGAGCCAGCTCCTTCCGAGATGCAGGATGAAGCCTGTCTGGTCTAGACAAGTTGTGGCGCGGCAGGCCGCCTGGCGCTCCTCCGGGGCCCTCCCAGACTCTAGGCCGCTGGCGCCTCTGGATCCCCCACCCCCCTCCCGCCCCCCTCCCCTCCGCGATCCCTCTCCGGCTTCTTCTCTCGGCGTCCCAGCTGCTCTGGCAGCTGGGCGGGACCTTGCACATCAAGACTGCAGCTCTAAAATGCGCTCCTCCAATCCGGTGGTTGGTGCAGACACGTGGTGCTGGGGCCGCTCTTGCGGGTGGTGGGATCCTCTCCCCAAGACGGCTGTTCTAAGAGAAACCAGATTCACTCTAACCTTGAGGGTGGCCTGGCCTTCAGCCAGCTAATTTCACATGGGGGCTTTAGGTAAATTCACTACCAAGAAGAGACTCTTCTTTAATCGCAGACATCTGAAAATGCGAGAGACCGTGAAGAAGCTGTCTAATGCAGCCCTGCATTTGAGTGATGTGGAAAACGGAGTAGGCACTTTGCAAGCAAGGCCCACAAGGGTTTAAACCCACCTAGGTTTCCGCCTCTCTTCCGGTTATGCCCACTTTAGGAGGAGGCATGGATCTCCGTTGGTAGAAAGTTCCATAGGGCAGGGAGAAGAAGGTCAAGGGTCAAAAGTAGTGTGACCATTTTTTTTTTAACCTAAAATCAGAACATGTGGACAATGGGGCAAAATTCGGTATTTTAAAATAATGAGCAATCCAGAAAGTTTGCATTTTAACGACCATGAGGTTGAATCAGATTGAGACATTTAAATTCATCTTTTGTAAAATCATAGTGTTTACTGTAGCAAAAATTATTCTTCAATTTTTAAAAGTAACCACATGACCTGGCTGGGGTGGCACAGTGGATTGTGAACCGAAGAGTCTCAGGTCTGATTCTCGGTCAGAGCAGGTGCCTGGGTTGGGCCAGGTCCCCAGTTGGGGGCTTGGGAGAGGCAACATATTGATGTCTCTCTCACACACATATGTTTCTCTATGTCTTTCTCCCTCCCTTCTTCTCTATGAAAATAAAATCTTTTTTAAAAAAAGTAACTCCAGAATTTTTGCTGGATGGTAAAAGGTTGCTTGTGCCTTGCCCTGACTGTGTCAACTTTGTACCACACTTCATTTAGCAGGATTTGTCCAATAGAGCAATACCTCACTGAGTATTCAGGTTGAATTACATGCTTTAGTTTTCACTTGAAATCATTTGGCCTAGGGCAGCCTTAGTGGGATTTTTAAATCTGATTTTAAAGTGCTTAAATTTGAAAGAGACTCCAAGATCATTCTAAAGCTCCTCTAACATGGTATAACAAAGATTTCTAGATAGACAGTTCAGGCAGTGTGAAGTAGGTAAAGCTAATGCCCTTTGAGGTAAGGTGTGTGTGTGTATGTGATGATTGCTTATTTAACTCACCCAGATGGTGTTAAGGTAGTGATCTTCAACAGGTGTGCTGCAAGAACCTTTTAAAACATGCAATTCCAGACTATTTAGTCAAGGGCACTGACCTCTTTTTCCTTAGATTGTCAAATAAAAAAGAAAATGACAGCAGCCAACACAACAACAGCCATTGGTGTGAATGAATCAAAATTTATACCTATGTTTTTGTGAGGTCGGCAAAAATATATATTTTTTGGTGTGCTGCAGAATTTTAGTAACTAGTTCATGTGTGCCATGAACTGGAAAAGGTTGAGGATCACCGCACTAAGGCAAAGATAAGACTGCATTTGTTTTATGAATACCTTTCCCTATCCAAACCGATCTACAGCTAGACTTTAGTTACACAAGGATAAGGAGACTGCTCAAAATAGTTCAGCACGTGCATTTTCTTTCTTTTGGGTGTAAATATTTTGCTTTGCCCCTCAGTTTTCAAGGAAAGAACCTCTATAACGAATTCAGTGTTTTTTAAACTGACTTAATTGGGTGAAAAATTTGCCCACAGCTGAGTCAAGATGTACCGGCGCATCAGGCTGCCCTTGGAAGTCAGTCCTTGAAGTGACGGTAGCAGAGCCAATAGAAGAGCAGGTGAACTGATAAACACGACACAAAACACCTGGGGCAACGCCCAGGCCACCTGGGGCCCAGATAGAATCTCCTGAACTGCTGTTACAGTTTGGAACAAGTCCCCAAGGAAGGCATTCTGTGCTTGTCGAATTGCAAGAATCTGGGAAGTTGATCTATCCCAGTGTGTTCAAATATCCTTTTAAGTTCATTAAGAAAATGAAAATGTTCATTTTTTATGGAAGATCAAGTACAAAAAAATTGCAATGTGATTTACGAACCCAAATGAAGAAACACTCTCCCAAATACCTGGCCAATACTCATCAAAATTGTCAAAGTAAGCAAAGACAAGGAAAGACCGCGGTATTCTTTCCAATTAGGGGGAATTTAAGAAATGTAACAACTCATGATCTCGGATTTTCACTTTCTATTAAGGACACTATTATGGCAAATGTCAAAATTTTAATAAAATGTGATACCAAGAGTATTAAATATTTTATCGATATTATTTTCACAAATTGGGTAGTTGTATTATGGTATTGTAAGAGAATATTTTGTTTTTAGGAAATGCACACAAGTATTTAGGGGTACAGGGCATCATGCCTGCAACTTCCAAATAAAAGGGGGGGGAGAGAATGATAAAGCAAATACAGCAATGCAGCAAGTTGGGGACTAGATGAAGGGTCTAGGAAGGTATTTTGTCCTTGCTTTGTAACTTTTTCATAGCATACGTCAATAAATTTGTCTCATTTAAAGGAAGGCCAGAAGGAGGCAGTGTGGGTGTGTATGGCAGCTCCCTGAGGTTACTCAGCAGCCCCCCCCCGCCCCCCCGCCCTCCCCCGCAACGACCTTGGCCGTGTCCGCCTCCCCGTGGTAGACAAGGGGTGCTGCAGTCTCCACAACATCCTCAATCCAACCGACTGCACGGAGAATAGTATCCTTGTAACATTTAAGTGTCAACCTGTTAAAAGTTAGGAAAAACAAGCGACATGTGTAAAAACATTTCTTTTTAAATGACATTTTGATAATGAGATTAGCTAACTGTCATAAGTGGAGCTCTAGCGGAGGGGCGGTTAACCTCCGTGTGTGTATGTGTAGTCACGCTTTCTCACACACACACACACACCACACACACACAGGCTTGTGTACACACACACAAACATGTGCAACCTGCTTTCAGAGGGTAGGGGAAGGGCAAAAACTAGGGAAGGACCGGGGAAGTTGAGTGTGTGGGTAGTGACTCGGTCATTCCGGTGGTGACGGCCTCTCCGCCGTCAGCTGCAGGAAAGCAGTTCCTCCCCCACGGCTGCATCTTCCTAGGGGAATGGACATGAAGTGTCTGTAAAACGTGGTTTTGGTTGGAGCAATACGTGCCCGGGAAAGGAGGAGGAGCAATGCCAGTTGTCAGGTTTGGGCGGTTGCCAAGGCAGTCCAATCTGAATACATTGCCACTTAAAAATAAATAAAATAATAAGTGGCCCCTGCCCAGGACGGGGAGGCAACACGGGCACGACTTGCCTGGGGACTTGGGATGACCTCGGGGTGGCTTTGGTTCCTTCCCACTATCTAGGTGGCCCGGGAATCCCAGAGGAGGGGGCAGGCACAGAAAAACCAGAGGAGGGCAGACTGGTGAGGATCAGCCGCTTTAACTATCCAAACGATCCATTTGGGCTTAAGCACGGTGAGGACCTTAGTTCAAGCCTGAAGGGTCTCTAGCCGCCTCTCCACATATTTGCTTGGTCCAGGACAGAGCAGAATGGGCTGGTCCTTGGTCCACAAGGCACTGGCAATCAGACAAAGGTGAATGACATGGGTCTGTGAGGGGCCTGTAGTTTGTAGGAGAGCGGCGTCCAGTCCGGGCTCTGGTGGGAAGCAGGCAGATGTCTCCACGCTGACCCTAAGGAGCAGGAGCAGGACCTCTGGACCTGACGTGCAGCAAATAGCAGAGGAGTCAGTGGGTGGGGCTGGCATTTCCCTCCTCATCCACAGGCACCGAAAGGAGGCATTGACGCAAAAAGGTTGTGCGGGCAGCAGGCATGCTTGAGAAGTCAAAGGTCACGAGGAACATCTGCACCACAGTATAGCTGGGGATAAATAAGGTCACTTGTGTGATGTCCACCTTGACAGTAACCCTTCCTCTCCAGGGGGTTTATGTTGGGAACCCCCCCTGCCTGGTTTTGAGGAGCTGTAACCCCCTCCCCATGGCTAAGGCTGAGTGAGCAACCTTCAGACCATAAGCCACTAAGGAGACAAAGCTTATCTTCCTGGCAGGAGCGCCGCTTCTGCTCCTTTTTTCCATAACTGGCCCCCCAGTGCTTGATCAGTTAGCCAATGATGGGTAAGATTCCCTAAAGGGGGAATGACCTAAGGCAGGCATGATCACATGGAGGCCCCAGAAAAGGACTTGGGGGCTGTGGAGAAAGGGGGTGATGGACCCTCGCCCCTCGGCTTTGACGAAGCTTGACTTCCCTGACTCTGTGGGAAGTCTCCGAGAATTCCTTGGCTCTCTGCCTCCTCAGTCTGACTTAAGCCTGAAACAATGACAATGGGTGGTGCAGCCCTGTGCTGGAAAGGGCAGGCTCCCCAGGTGATCAGGCCTGAGAAAGGATATGTAAAATCCTGTGAAACCTGCTTTGTTAAGAATGCTCTTAGTTAAATGATAAAGGTCAGAGCAGGAAATGAGTTTGTTTTCCAAAGTTTTGTAGCCTTTTAGCTGATAGACCCTGACTCAGTAGAAACCCTAATAGTTCTTTGTGTACTATCTACTGTTTACTGCCTGACAATGATTAAATAAGTTGCACCTGAACTCCTGTGCAAAAAAACCCAATAAAAGCCTGTCTAGGCAAGGGTCAGCGGGCTCCTCACTTGAGAGAGTGGCCGGCCCCCTTTTTCTCCACAAGACTCCGTCGTCCGTGTGAACTTGTCTTGATTTCCATCCATGACGCCGTGGGCACTGCAGGCCAGTGCACAGGTCAATGATACCCAGGAAGGGGGCCGGGGCATTTGGCTCAGAAACATCAGAGAAGGAGACAGGGACAGACATGTAACATGCTGAGGGCAGTAGGGTCCACGAGCTCCAGTTTCTCCCACAAAGCCCTCAGCATGGCCAGATGGTGCGGAACACCCTCAAAGCAATGAATGATTCTTCAAAGTTGCCGATCAGGGTACAGCTGATGGTGAAGGTAGGTGAACAGGGCAGGCACTGGTAGGGCTCAGCCGGTCTGGCGCTTCCAGAGGCTTTGAAGGAAGCTCAGCTTCAGGCCACGGGCACCTTTCCGTCGCTGCCCCCCAGGATTCCTGTCTGGTGGGTCCAGCACAGGTTCCTTGGTCCAGGCAGCAGGTGGCTCCAGAGGGTGTGGCTTTGACATCAGAACTGTTGGCAGCAGAAGGGTGACCCAGAGTTCCCCGGTGCCTCTGAGCAGCTGGCCCCCCTTCCTCAGAGCTGACATCCAGGGCTTCTTCGGCAGGAAGCAGCCTTGGCAGGGCAGGGGCCTGGAGGTCCGGGGCCAGAGGGTGTGTGCTCAGGTTTGTGCCCATCGGCAATGCCAGGGGACTCCCTGGGCCAGGGGCTGTTCCCGCGGCCCACCCCAGCCACTGGGCTCTTACCCCTATTTGTGAAAGACTATGCAAATCAGTGTCAAGTGTGTGCAGCTGGCCTAGGGGAGCTCACCCTGGGGACTTTTCCAGAGGCCTCTGTCCCCCTGGATCTGGGGAATCCCAGTCTCTGGTGTGCAAAGGATTACAGGAAGCATTCGATGGGGTGCAGGGGGCACTCTGGACCCTTGAAGTCCAAGGTGAGGTGTGTTAGAGAACACACAGGCTGTGAGGGCAGAAATGCTGGTTGGGCACACCCAGCCCCAGCCCCAGCCCCAGCTCCTCTGGGCCTAATACCCCACAGTAGATGGTTCTTCAGGAGGTTGTCCCTCTCTGGCCCCCAAGCCCAGGGACCTTCTTCAGTTCCCAGGGACCTTCAGTAAGCGGAAATGACCATTTCAAGGCCCTGTGAGGGTTGGAGGCACCAGCTGGAGAGGAAAGGTTGTGGTTACCTGGTAGACCCCAGGGGATGGGGCCCCTCCTCCTGGGCCCCAGGTAGCCCACAGGCAGGCCACCCTGGAGAGCTCCCTGCCTGACTGCAGGCTGCGACCAGCCACCCTCCGGTGCTGAGGGTATTGATGGCTCTGCCTGCATGTGGCACATGAAGTCCCTTCTGGGTGGGGGTGGGGGCTCCCCTCACAGCCTTCATCCTGGGCCTGGAGATATCCCAGTGAAGAGGCTATAAGCCTGGCTGAGTGTTCCCTCTTCCTGACTGATTCCGTGCTCTCCTAGCTTGGAGTCTGGTCCATGAACCCTGCACTGGCAAGGTGACTGCCACCATTCTCTGCAGCTGCTGGCCTCAGTTGGATCCCCACTCCAAGCTGGCCCTGCCTCAGTGGTCATTGCCCTGGGCCCTTCCATCCTCTCAAATCCCCAGTCCTCCATGACATGGACCCTCAACCCAGACAAAGATGAACCTTTTATATTTTATGTCCTCTTGCTAGTTTTTTCCAGAGCCTAAACAGCTATCAAAAAAATTTTAGGCTAGCCCCGGCTGGTGTGGCTCAGTGGATTGAGCACCAGCCTCCAAACTGAGAGATCGCCGGGTAGATTCCCAGTCTGGGCCCATGCCTGAGTTTCGGGCCAGGTCCCTAGTTGGGGGAGAACAAGAGGCAACCAACTGATTATCTCTCACTCATCCATGTTTCTCTCCCTTCCCCTCTCTCTAAAAACAAATAAAATCTAGAAAGAACATTTTAGGCTATACCTTTGTATAGTAATTAAAGAGTAATTAACTGAATGAAGGTAGCCTGGTGACTCCTTGGTCCTACTCCCGTCTATCCCCATTTATTAGCACTGAAACATTTATTAGCACATGGCATTTGTTTGCTCCTCCCCATTCACCTGGCCTACTGCAATGGCCTCTTAACTGAGCACACTGCTCACCCCTCTACAGTGTACTCTTCGTACAGTAGTCAGACTGACCTCTTTTAAATCTAAATCCAATAATGCCAGACTTCTGCTTAAAATCCTCTGATGACTTCCTGTTCTTACAAGAATAAGTTTAGAACTCCCTTTTAATAGCCTAGTATGCATTCTGAGAAGTTCTTTAGCTCTGCTTTTATTGTTGAGACCAGAATCATAGGCAGGATTCTGGTGGCGATTCATGGTCTAGCCTTATTTATCTACAAAATTCTGTCCTCACTAGATTCAGCATTTTCTTGGCAATCTTTACCACAGTACATCATTTTGGATGATGTCTTCACTGATTCCTTGTGGACATTAAAATCACCTGCTGTTTTTGTTATTAACATCACCTGTGGACATTAACATCATCTGCTGTTTTGTCATTTAACATCACCTGTGATGTCAAACGGGCAAGGGCAAACCAAATAAATAAAATCCTAAGGAATTCCTGAAGAGAAACTTCTTCCATTAGTCTGTTAGAAGGAAGAGTAACATTTGTATAGCACTTTATAATTTATAAGAAGCTTTACACTACATGATATGTCAAAACAAATCTTTGAGGCAATCAGGATCATACTCACTTTACAGATAAAGGTAATGTTAGACATGGGTGAGAAATAGAGGTGGGAGGAACAGGTGACCTGATTCAGGTGCCCTTATTTGATGCTGCACTTACAGGCAGGCTGAGTCTGGACCAACTGCAGCCCTGGAGGAAGGCGAGAGTGAGGTTTTTAAAAGAAAAAGTGGGGAGGCTTTTGGGGGGGATGGGGAAGAATTAGTCTCTTGTTTTTCTGGGAGGGTGCCTCAGGGTTTCAGGATGTGAGCTGGGACAGTGAGTTAGGTAAAGGGCCAGGCTGACCACCAGTCATTGCGGCTGGCACCAGATGTCTACTGTGCAAGGTGGGAGTTTTGATGAAGCCTCAGGCTATCAACTGAGTACAGATAACTGAGTTACGAGCAGTCCAGCGGGTTGAAAAACTGGCCTGACTGGGTCCTGAGCAATCTGCTGGGTTGGGAAACTGGCCTTTTTCAGGTAATTTAGGTAAGAACCACGGTATGGGATTACATTTCTTGGATGTGAATCTTCGGCATTTCACATTATATTATACTGCTTTCCACCACAACTAATCAGGGACTTGGGTTGTTGTGTTCCCCCCCCCGCCCCCAAACCATTTCCTTTGCACCAGTTCCCTTTGGAATAGAAGGCTTTCTGCTTTTACTTTCCTTCCTGTAGCTTCAAAAAATTACAAATCCACTATTGCTATAGGGTCGGCCAAAAGTTCATTTGGTTTTTTTCTCTTACGATGTCTTTGGTAAAGCTTGGTTGTCTTTAGCTTCATTTGAAATAATTTTGTTAGATTGTATTGTAACAGTTGTTATACCAGCGAGTGTTTATAACATCACAATCGGTGGATTTTTGTGTAGCCATTTTAATATTGAAAATGGAAGAAAATATGCAACACTTTCAGCATATTATGCTTTATTATTTCAAAAAAGGTAAAAATGCAACTGGAACACAAGACTAGATTTGTGCAGTGTATGGAGAAGGTGTTATGACATACTGAATGTGTCAAAAGTGGTTTTCGAAGTTTTGTGCTGGAGATTTCTCGGTAGGTAGACTAGCCGAAGTTGATAGAGATCAAATTGAGACATTGAGAACAATCAATGGTATGCCATATCACACTCAAAATATTCAAATCAATGAAGTTATTGGTGAAAATGGAAATGTGTCCTTTATGGAAAAAACTAAGCGGACTTTTTCGCCCACCCGATATTACTAATTCAGGAGTTCTTCTAAAGTGTGAATTAGCACCGAGGTTGTCACTACAACCGACTCACTGGTCAAGTTTGCACTTGACAATGCTTAACACAGAAAAGCTTCACTGTTTTACCCCATGTAAAAAGCCACTGGTGTCTACTGGGTGTGTTGGAAACTCCGGATAAAGTGGCTGAGAACAGACATAATGCCAAATTAAGTAACTTCAACTTTATCTTGTTCCAGTTGTTATCTCTTGTGGATACTCTTCTGATGAGCTCAAGACACAAAAATCCCTTGTAACAGGTGATTTTTTTTTTTGTAGGTGATGTTGGACACACTCTCAGGAGCACCATGCTCTCTTAGCTGCCGTACCTCCCTAGTTTCGTCTTTGCAGACTCTTCAAGGATTCTGCCATCTTTTGTGGACACGTTGGTCCACTGGAGGGTTGGAGTGGGGCTCACGAAGGGTTCCCAAAATTCCAAGCCATTCTCATTCAGTGGCTTAGGTCACTAGTGTACCTCTCTAGTTGTCCCTGAACTACTTCGGCCTCTATCAGCTCACTCATGTCCTCCTGACCTTATCGCAAGCTTTTCAATTCAGTCTGTATTTGCTCCCAGACCCTCTGTGGCACCCAGCAGGCCCTGTGCTTCCTCGTGTCTAACCGCCCATTGCGAGACCTCAATTTCAGAGGCTTTAAAGCTCCCCTCCGCCTTCTCACCCCGGACCCCGCGGCTCTACCTTCCTCTCCAAACAGTACACCGGAAAACCTGGCCTGCTGACACCCTCCCCTTGCTAACCTAACACGCGGAGATCAACCCAAAAAGACTCACAGCCCGCGCGCATGCGGACTCCTCCGCCGCTGCCACCCAGCCCCACCAGCCACCTCCCTCTCCCCGCCGCCCGCCCCAGGCGGTTTGAAGGTGCCTGACAGCTCCGCTGCGGGCAGCACGCAGTCTCGTCCCGTGCTTCCACGTTATCCTATCAGAGGCGGGGCGGGGCGATGGGCTCCGCAGCCTATCAGCGCGAACCACGACCCTGACGGGCCCAGTGGAGGGGCGCCTGGGAAGACAGCCACTGGACGGTGGCGGCGCCTGGGCGTAGCGTGGCCGGGCCCCGCCCACCGCTGCCTTCCTCCGCTGGGCGCCAGCTGCCGCAGAGGCCTGAGCGAGCGCCGACTTCGGACGGGTGCAGCTGCAGTCTGAGCGCCGGCGGGGGTCTGGTGGGCCCGCTCTCTTGTTTTGGTTGCTGCCACCGCGCCCTTGGACATGGTGGCCCCTGGCTCTGTGACCAGCCGACTGGGCTCGGTGTTCCCCTTCTTGCTTGTCCTAGTGGACTTGCAGTATGAGGGTAAGTCGGGCTCTGCCCCAGCGAGAGGAGTGGGCTCCGGGGTCAGGTCTCCTGTCACTTCCCCGCGCCCGGGCGCGAGTCCCCGGCCGTGGGCGAGAGCGGGACTGAGCGTCTCCGCTGGGGCCTGAGCCGGCTTCGGGGTGGGCCGGTCCATGGTTCCCCCGGTTCCGGGTTTGTTTGGGGAAGAAGTGCCGGGACCGGACCGTGGGGCACAGTGCCAGAAAAGGGGACCTGGAGTGTAGAGCCGCTCAGAAGGGGTCCGAGAGTAGGGAACGGGCCAGCGACTTCTGGGGCGTCCTGGGACCGTGCGACTTGAGCAGCAGTCCTGTTCGGCCTCGCTTGGGACCCTGGCTTGGCGACTGGGCACACTCTCGGGCAGTGGCGATGGGAGGAGAAGGTAAAGTAGCCAAAGTCGAGGCTTCTTTCACTCTGGATTCCGAGGGTGGCGGGAGGAAGTATGTCCCGTTGAGTGAAGGGGACAATGTTGACTGTTAAAAGTGAGTTTTCCATCATATTATTAGATTGTGTCTTGTATAGATGTTGTTAGGTTGGTGCGTTTAGGAACCGGTGCTGGAATTAAGCTCCCGGAGGGTAAGGCACAAAGTTTGTGGTTTTACAGCTCCTAGCGTGATATCGTTCAATTTAGGCTGGCTTTCCTTTTACAAGTTTTCTGGAGTGGGGGTGGGGGAGGAGGTGGGGAAAAGGTCCCCTTAAGAAGATAAGAACATTTGCATTTTGCTTCAGGAGCACAGATTGGATTGTTGGCTACTCTAACAGAACAGCAAAAATAGAGAGCTGTCTCCTATTCGATGTCAGCCCTGTAAGAATGAAAGCTGGAAGTGCCAGTTGAACTAATGCTCCTAGCTTGGTTACTGTGAAAAATAATGGAGTATAATGACACACTGAATAAATACACGGATCTATTTTCATTCTCATGAAAAGGGCTGGTAGTTAAGGAGGTAAAACGAAATATTTTAATATGAGACTTAATATTAGGCAAGAGGGAGTGAGGATCTGAAGCTGGGAGTTGTTTCTGGTAAAATACCCTTCTAAACTTAAAAAAAAAAGGAATACTTCCCAGTTTTTAGATTCCATGCATGGCAATGGTTTGTTTATTTTTATTGTTTTGGCTCCCTCAGTGACTATATATTTTTTTGAACCAAAAACCAGAACATGTATCAGGACAACATCGGGATGGAGAATTTGGCATTGAGGCTGCCCTAGAAAATCTACGGAATTTGAATTTGAATGCCAGGACCACATTAATATGGTCATGTATTCCAGTTCTCTAATGCTAACCCCCATCCTCCTCAAATGTAGCATTTATGTCCAGTTACCATTTATGACTTATTTTGGCCACTTAAGAGAAAGTTGTCTACATCCTGTTTAATGCCAGTCATTTTAAGTTGCAAAAGGTGCACACTTTTGTATGACTTGCTTTTCCCACTAGCTTTTGGATTACCTTTTTAGAATTACTGTTCTGTATATGACTCTGTAGGACGCTAACACTTCATTTCCATCCCGTGATATTTTCTGTGAGAACAAACCTCGTTGGAATGCTTTTCTGTATAGGAAGCATTGGTGACATTTGTTAAACAAGTGCCAGAGTACTGCTTTTATAAAGTAGCAGGACTTGGTACAGGTGGTATGGAAGAAAGGAAAAGGATCTTAAATTTATTGAAGGTCTGCTGTGTGCCAGCCACCTTTCTGTAAGGGATCTCTTATTTATGGAGGAGCTATGTGACACTATTCCTATTTTACAGATGAAGAAACTGAGGCTCCGAGTTTAATGAACATGCGTAAGTCACATAGCCGTTAACTCCAAGATCCTTAAGTTGAATTCAAGTTATTTGACTCTAAAGCTTTTCCGTGTATAGGCTGGAGATAGAAGTTAGTGGTTGACAGCATCACATGGGCCCCATTGTTTGTAAGTGGTGGCAGCTGAGAAAAATCAATTTTTTTGCTTGTTTACTGCCAGCGGTAATGAACAAGAAGGTGATTTCCTAGGATGTTTAATACAGCGGTTCTCAACCTTGAGTGTGCATGAAGCTGTCACCCTAGATGGCTTTTAAAAACAGAGTTCAGGTCGCCACTCCCAGAGTTTCTGATTCAGTAGGTCTAGGTTTGCTGAAATTCTGCATTTAAAAAAAAAATCACTGAGGAGAATAACTGGTATAGTAAATAAGTTATATAGAGGAGTTAAGTTAGGTGTTTGCTGTTGTACTAGACACTAAGTTTGGGGATGGGACCCCTAAAGTTAAGAACCTTCGACTTAGATTAGCAAACTTTTAGTTCTTGTTTTCCCAAATATTAAATTCTATGTCAGGGATCAGTAACCTCAGAGTCCTTTGGAGGCATTCAGATCTGCATGATTCCACTACTCTGACTGAGGCTTGGAGAAGGAAGAAACAGGGGAGAATGGGTTTAGGAAAAGTGAACGTGAAACAAAGAGTTGCATAGGATGCAGAGTGTCATCAATAATTAGCTTAGTTGCCCTAGTTTATTCTGATTTAAAAATACTCATCTTGTTTTTTTTCCCTATGCTTTTTTGTTAGTTGTAACCGGGAGAAAAAAAAATACATAATTCTTAATGAATTAAAAGTTTTAGCACCTTCTTTCAAAAGACCTTTAAAAGGGGGAAGTCCAAAGCACTAGATGAGGGGTAGAATTTTTAGAGCAGAAAGAAAACTTTAGCAGAATCTACTTCAGTATTCTCATGTTACAGATAAGGAAGCTATTTTAATTCTTTGCTAATGGTTTGCTAATGGGTCGTTCTATTTGGTGACTTGAGTAGGGACACTGCCAAGGGACCAAACCTTCTTTTATCCCTTTTTCTTCCTTAACATGCTACCTGAACCCAGTTTTTCTTTATTTCACTGAACTGACCTGACTAAGCCATGTGTTGGCCATAGTGAAAAGAACAGTTTACAATGTGTAAGTGTAGATTTCAAGGGGGCAGCAGAGCAGGCAGAAGCTACACTCACCTCCAAGGATCAAACTGGAATTACAACTAAGTTAAAGAACACTCATCCCGAATAACCAACTGGAGACTGGCTGAAGAGGAGTTTTATAACCAAGGATTTACAGAAGCAGCCAAATCAAGACTGGTAGGAAGAGACCAGGGGTGGAGGCTGGGATTCTGGAGGAGGACGATGGCTGCAGGGTGGTTCCCCCTGAGAATTGTGGGGCCTAAGCCCCAAGTTGGGCTCCCCAGCCCAGAGCACCAGAGCCGGAAAGAAGTGCCCACATAACATCTGGCTGTGAAATGCAGCAGGGGTTTCTGTTTGTCAAGGAGAGATGGAGTCTGCTGGAGACACAGGCGCCCTCCTAAAATGCCAGATTTCTAGAACGTAGTCTCCCAAAACTGAGTCACAAAGAATCAGAAAATCTGAACAGACTAATCACAACTAATGAAATGGAAGCAGTAATAAAAAAAAAAACCCAAAAACCAAAACTCCTGACAATCAAAAGTTCTGGACCAGATGGCTTCACAGACAGACAAATTTTATCAATCATTCAAAGAAGAACTAATACCTGTCCTCAAACTATTCCAGAAAATTCAGGAGGAGGGAAGAATCTCAAACCCACTTTACGAGTCCAGCATTATCTTAATTGTGAAGCCAGGTAAAGACACTACAAAGAAAGAAAATTACAGGCCAATATCCCTGGTGAACATAGACGCTAAAATCCTTAACAAAATATTAGAAAACAGGATTCAGCAATACATTAAAAAGGTCATACACCACAATCGAGTGGGATTTATTCTGGAATTCAAGGTTGGTATGATATCCACAAATCAATAAATGTGATATACCACCAAAACCATGTGATCACATTAATAGATTCAGAAAAATCGTTTGATAAAATCCAGTACCCATTTATAATAAAAACTCTCAGCAAAGTGGGAATAGAGGGAACATACCTCAACATAATAAAGGCCATATATGACAAGCTCACAGCCAGTGTCGTACTCAATGGTCAAAAACTGCAAGTGTTTCCCTTAAGATTGGAAGCAAGACAGATGTCTGCTTTCACTACTCTCATTCACCATAGTATTGGAAGTCCTAGCCACAGCAATTAGACAAGAAGAGTAATAAGAGGCATCCAAGTTGGAAAGGGAGAAGTAAAACTGTCATTGTTTGCAGATGACATGATACTGTATAGAGAGAAGCCTAAGGATTCCACCAAAGGACTACTAGAACTGAAGTGCTTTTTGGTGAGGTATGCATAGCATAGAACTCATGGGGTTTTTTGTTGAGTTTACAGACTACTTGGGGGGTATAGGACATGCTTTGTGAAGCATCCATGCCCTCTTCCTTCCTTGCTCAGTTTAGATGTGTAGTGTAGCTTTTCCATTATAAACACCCTTTACTTTCCTTGCCCCTTTATTATTATTTTTTTTTACTCACGTGGCAAAATTTAACACTGAATAAATCCAACTTGGACACCAACTTGTTTGTTGTACTTTAGAGCCGAACATGGTGGAGAAAAATGGAGATAACTTTTGCCGACTGGTCTCATTTTAAGCATATAATCTCAATTTCAGATGTACCCTAAATGCTGCCAACATTTCTACAATTTCTTTGTATGTTCATCTGGAATGTCAGTATTTCAAACTTTTTCCTCTTCGCTTAAATCTCCAATTTAAACTCCCCCATTCCTCACTTCCTTTACCTCATTCTTTTAGACCTTGTCTTTATTGAGAAAGTTCACTTGTATCTGTAGCTACTTATATTAAAATGGATAAAGCATTTCTATTCTTGGCAAAATCCAATTTTTATACTTATTTCATTTCCCTGGATTTCATTTCTTCTCATCTCTGAAACTATTGCTCCTACAGTGACCATTTCTCTGCTGTGTCCTCACTTTCTCCTCTGTGCGGGATCATTTTCGTTAGCACTCCCACATGCTGTACTGTGTCCATCCTGAACTGTTCTTTGATGTCACGTGTCCCTTCAGCTGCTGAACTGTACCTTTGCTTCTCTGGACAGCAGAAGTTT